ATAGATGATTTCGAACTTTCTAGTCTGTTTTGTTAGTATATCTTCTACACATCACATCAACAGCTTTAATAGTCCACGCTGGGACATAGGCCTCTCCTTAGAAAGGTTTTGGCCTACCTATACCTCGCTGGCCAGACGGCTTTATGGTATGGAGGTTGTGTCAAGTTTTCCTTCTCTTAGTAGTGCTAGTTGTCCTGCATAGTTTGTTCCCTTAGTCGGCTCTTACGACACCCACGGGATGAATAAGGGTAGTGACACTCCGTATTCTACTACACGGACAATATATAAATATATACATCTTCTCTTGTCTTGTTTATTTGCTGGCATAGTTTAGTGGTTTCAGATTAAGGTTTTAGCATAGGATAATCTCTGATCTTTTTTTGAAGATTCTGTAATGACGTTCTGATTATGCTCATTATTATGTGGGACATGAACATAATCATAACGTCATTACAGGTGTTTAAAGTTAATTGGGTTTGTGTTTTTGTGTTGTCTTCTTACCGTGAAGTATTGCAGACCCGTGATACCACCCAATGACACCACCGGTAGTGTCAAGGGTATTATTCAATCCCCATGACACCACCAGTATTGTCAAAGTTATTATTGAATATTTGACAAAACGTTCAGTAAACGTTGAATTATGTTTATCTTTATGTGTTTATTTAATCTAAAATGAAAATTTTCTTTCCTCCGAATGAGGCTCGGCTAACTTTTATTTTATTTCATAATTATTAATAAAATCAATTATTAATTAATATCTATCTTTATTTCTGTTAGTTACTCGGTGGTGTCATTATGTAAAAGAAAAATCACTTTGACAATACCGGTGGTCTCATGGGGATTGAATAACACCCTTCACACTACCGGTGGTGTCATTGGGTGGTATCACGGTCCGTAACACCGTGAAGCAGGTATCGATCGTGAAGAATCGATAATTGACCCAATCTCTAGGACAGGTGAACCAACGAGAGTGGGGGCTTCACCTGTCCTAGAGATTGGATGAACCACGAGGAATGATCATATTGAATAACACGACAATGTTGTAATAAACATTTAATAATATAACAAAAAGCCATTCGTTAACGACAGTCACCATGATCACAGCATTATTACTTTATAACCAGTTGAACGGCTCCTCAATCAGTGCAACCACTTAGCTGACATTTGGTGTGAACTTTACTCGGTGATATATTGTACAAGCGCTGACTGTGGCTACTCTATGTATTATAATATCATAGCTCGTACAGGACACCTAGCGGGGCGGGGGAGTGTCTACACATATATTAACATATAACCAAATTGCATTAGTATTAAAAATTTATATTTATGATGGATTTCCGTTACATTTGTGTGACGACGACTAAAATAAAATTATTTTAAACATAAAAGAAGATTCCCGCAGTACCCGGCGTCAGATTGTGATCTAAGCGTAAGTCATATATTAATTACATTGTGCCGATAATAACCTACGAACTGGACATGACCGGGGGTGACATGAGCGGGGGTGACATGTGAATTATCCTTACAACATAATTCGTAAAGGTTTGTTAGAAGCGTGTTAGTGTGTGTGTCACTAGTATCTACTGTGATATGACATAATTATGTACCTAAGTCTAGTAACTATGAACACAACAGTTACAATTAATGTATTAATAATTGACCTATTCAATAAAGTTAAATAATCTCTAAACAAGTTCCCGACTACCACTGACAACAGGACGAGGATCAGAGACACCACACGCTCGCATTCGCACCGACTCACTGACCGACAGCGGCGGTGTTATCAACCGCCACACATCAAGACCTTCATTTGAAACGGTCGTGTACCTGTGTTACATATGGCTAGAGGCTTAAGTGAATTACAGAGTGAGAGAACTTTGGTTTTTGTGGCCTTTCGGCCATACAGTACAGGCCGCGGATGTGTTTAACTAAAGATCTGGTTAATTATAATAAATATAATTAAAGAACTATAATCAAACGTCACAATGGATCATAAAAACATATTGCATCTAACCGACCCACGGCACTGTCTGACATGCACCGACGCTCCGGAGCCAGGCACGCGTCCGTGCGCGTTGCTCCTAGTGTTGATCACTACACAGTGCTACACACACGTGTGCACGTATACAAAACTTCCCATATCGTGGCATCTCTAACAAGCTCAGGAACATTCTTAATAGAATTCGAATACTGCGTGAAGGAGAGCGCTGACATCAAAGAAGCTGTGGGTAAATACCAAGCGTGGCATCGCCGTGCGTCAGCTGTGGTGATGAGCCTCAAAACAAGTGCTTAAATACACTGTGTGCCAACTATCTATGGTTTAACAAAGTTAAACAAATCTATTAATTAAATAATTGAACGTCAGATGTGTTTACTTTCACGTTGTTTTCACTCGGTGAAAACTTAGAAAAGAATGCTTAATGCCTTGTTTACACAGGCAAACGTGGACATATTTTTACTCCAAATATAAACTATAAACCTACTGCTCAATTAAATTGCTCAATCAGTAGATCATTGAGACAATGTTGATTCCCGACTGCTCGACTACAATACTTAACCGACACTAGCACCGATCGACGACGAGCATACGCGAGCCGAGCCAAACACCCGTTATTTGTGAGGCACCTCGGCCTCGTGACGGTCGAGTCCACGAGACGCTCTGTGTGTTACTGATTTCTATTATTTCTATAGGATAACTGTTGGAATTAGATCAGGGTCAGGGTTACCAACGGTGTGAAAATAATGACTACGAATATTTTTTTTTAATCAAGAGTTACCGTTTGGCAGTTCTGACAGATTGAAGTATAGCGATGGGGTCAAAGAAATCGATTACTAAAATGTCTGATTCTTGAGAGATTTCGATATCATTTCTTAATATGTACTAATCGATTATAGATTTATGTTTTTTTATGTTAGAGGGGGCAGACGAGCGGATAGATGTATGTTCCCTCTGCTCCCTGGAAGCAAGCGCGCTTCGCAACGCGCTCGCCGCCACCCCGGCCTGCTTCTGCTAGGGTGACAGATGGCCTCACCTGTCACCCCCAGGCCTGCGTTTATGGAGGACGGTGGTCGTTCTGCGACCTCCGGCGCCTGAGTCGCCTGCGGTACCTGGCGGGCCGGGAGAGTTCTAAACCTCTCCGGGTCCAGCTCCGCCGTCTCCTTCGCGAGCATAAGTTGCTCGCAGAAGGAGAAGGCTCGTCTCTGCTTAACCCACGCCGGGCACTCTGCCAGCGTTTGGAGAGCCGTGTCCACGGTCTGGCCATCGCAGTGGTGGCACTCAGGCGTTGGCTTCTTGCGGATCACACACAGGTGATCCCCGAAACATCCTTTCCTAGTGATCACCTGCGTCAGTCGGTATGAGAGGGTCCCGTGATGCCTCTCGAGCCAATCCTTCATAACGGGTCTTACCGCCGCGATGACGGCGTGCCCGAACACTAACGGTCTGGCCACAGTTTCTGGCGGTGCGTTGCGCGGTGCGTTGGGAGGTGGTGGTATGCCATAGCTAGACTAGTTGTGACCGCGGCGGCGTCAACGGTGCACGTATTTAGAGAACGGATAAACCATTAAAATGCCCCTATCATAAGTGGCTCGATATTGCCTCGAAACGAGTGCGTTCTTAGCTGAAGATATCGTTCAGTCAAGAATAGGAGCTCACCCAGTTAACCAGAAAAGGAGAGAATTTGGCGAATTTCACACTCTTTATTATGAATATAGGAACTATCTCGATAAATTTTTTGAATATACGCGGGCGAGCATAGAAACTAACTAATGAATCGTTTCATATCCATTATTTATTTTATTCGCTCAACGCGCGATAAAAACAAAATGATTTGTTTCGGTCGCGCGATGCCTCAAAGCGTCCACCGAAGCCGCCGCGCGCGCCGCTCTGAGTCTGAGCTGTGGCCACCTCGATATTGGCTAGTACATTTGTTTCACTCGCACATCGCGCAGCTCGTCGCCGCGCCGCAAGTCGCGCCGCAGTGCGCGTCGCCGGTAGCTGTGGCATACTTCACAGGTTGTTTACCATTTGTTTTCGCCGCTCACCGCTTACCGCGCCTCACGACGCGCCGCAATTCGCACCGCTCTTGGCTGTGGCCAGGCGGTAAGACGCCTGGACTAAAAAACACTCGTTATTAATAAATTCGATTCTTTCGTATTCAAGTGAATTGAAAGAACCGCAACGCTACGGTGAAGGACCTAACTAGGTGACTTTGGAAAGAAAAACATCTATTGTGTATAAATTAGTTCTTTGCTTTGTTTCAAAGATTTAAATTTAAATTTAGTCATTAAGAATTGTATATCTTGAGACGAAATAAAAATAGCTACATAACTCCATGGTTTTACGGAAAAGGTTATTGATTTTTTTTTTATTTTGTTTTAGAAAAAGACAACTCCCGCATTAGGAATATATTCCTGTGTCGCGGGGGACTTTACAAACATACATGAAACGGGACACAAAGAACACCCATACTCAGAACAACAATTTGTGGATCACACAAAGTGTCGTCCCATGTGGGGTTTGAACCCACAACACTCGGCGTAGTAAGAAGCGTTTCGTTCGAAGTGAAGCGTGAAGCGTTTCGAAGTAAGAAGCCTATACAAAGTTGTTTCGTTTTGAAAAGTATAAAACTTTAAACGGTACCTCTTACATTAGATTGACTATATTTACTATTGTGGGCGTTATTAATGAGAAACATTTTTAAAATTTTACATTTCAAGCATTTTTTGTATTTTATTTCATTGCCTGAACATTGCTACCCTAATTTTTCATTTTTTTTTGGATAGTAAGTAATCTGCTCAGATTAAAAATACACCTGTCATTCTGATATCAAGCTGGCCCCCCCTCACTAATTTGTTGTTGCAATAACTTTCGTTTCATGAAAGCACATGGCTTTAATTTTTGCGCACATTGTTTTCATGTGTACACTCGTCATCCTGATGTTCGCGGCCGCTCAACACCACACACTGATATATTCCGTATTTATTTATTTATACTTCCTGCAAATACATTGCATAAGGCGGACTTAATGCCATAGGCATTTTCTTCCAGTCAACCTTGGGGTGATGCAGAGATTTGTGTATGGCAGGTGTATAATGAGATAAATTATTTAAATTGTAGTCGGTTGCAAGATGGATATATCATCATCATCATCATCAACAGCCTTTAATAGTCCACTGCTGGACATAAGCCTCTCCTTAGAAAGGAGGTTTACAGGATACATATATAGATGCAAATATCATTTATACGTACTATATAATACTATAAATATAAAAAAAAACATAAACATTCACACATACATCTATACATATATGCCTGCGTTGATGAACACACAAGGGGTTATTTTGATGACGCCGTCAACAAGTCTCCATAAAGCTTGCGTATTCTGGTCTTGAAGATTGTTCGGTTGGTGGATATCCTGATCTCTAGGGGAAGGGCGTTCCAAAGATTTACCGCTTGGACAGTGAAGGAAGAATGTACGATACGGGAGCTATGTGAAGGACAAAGAAGAAGGAAATTATCAGCGGAGCGAAGGCTTCTGTTATGGTTGGAGCAGAGATATTAGCACTATTTAATCGTGACTAATAATTATTTAAATTAATGCGCGTTCAAAATAGCCACACAATTGCATTAGGTAATACACCTGTATTACGGTTGTATAAAATAAATAGACATACTACGCGTATGGAATGTGTAAGTTAAATAGTGATTCCTTTACAGTTTTAGACGACAGTATTTAGTACATTTAAATGGTATTCGCAAAGTTAAAACAGCGGCTTCAATGTGCGCACATCGATAAGTAACAAATGTGTTCGGCGGTAGACACGGAACGAGCGTTCCACTCCAACAAGACACAACACATGACACAGGTGAGTGGCGGCGGGCTCGTTACGTCAAAAGCATGGTGTGTGGAGAGGGGGGGGGGGGGGGGGGGGGGGCGAGCGACACAACAACTCTATGTTAGTCAACGAAACCGAACGAGTAGCGGTGTATGTACTGACATATACACTGTCTGTTAACTCATTATATGTCTGCTGCATATTTTGTGTATTACACGAAAGAAAAGCTATTATGCTACGATTGATATTCCTACACAACCACAGTTACAGTTAGTAAGAAATATCGTATTTTATTATAAAGTTAAGGGTAAGAAAGGGGTCGTAGTGACGCATGGTGATGCATCATGCGTCACTACGACTTCTTTCTTACCCGTCACTTATATTTAATTGAGGTTTCATTACGTTCTATGAGTGACTTACGCTATTTTGAGATTTTGACTCGGACCGATTGAAATATTAAACGATCAGATCGTATATCGGTCAATAACCGTCTAGGACATCTATAGACGTACAACTTTAACGACCGCGATGATTCATCGTCGGATTCGGTATAAAGATTTTTTTTTAATTTCATATTTAACGAGACGAGGGGGCGACGAATTAAACTTTTATCGTTGACGCACCGATCACGGGAACGTTCGCGGTGAAGCGGGATACCGGCGCGGACGTATCCGGAGGGACGTTTCCGATAGGGTTACAGCTCGTACAGGTGCAGGTCCACGCCCCAGCCCGTGGGCGCCACGTGCGGCGGCAGCGCGGCCAGCGCGCGCGCGTGCTCGGCGTGCAGCTTGTCGGCGCCGAACAGCGCGTGGCCCGCCAGCGACACGTCGGCCAGCGCCGCGCCGCCCCCGCGCAGCTCCAGCTCCACGCGCCAGGCCGTGGGCGCGCGCGCCGCGTGCAGCGCGAAGAAGTACGTGCGCCGCTCGCCCCACGCCGCGCCCGCCAGCGGCTCCGCCAGCGCGCTGCAGCGCTGCAGCCGCACGCCGCGCGCCGGCGCCACCACCAGCACCACGTGCGCAGGCGCGCGCCGCACGTCCACCACGAGCGCGCGCACGCCCTCGCCGCGCCGCTCCACCGTCACGTTGGCCTCGAGGCGCACGAGCGGCGCGGCCGAGGCCCGCACGCGGTGCGAGCGCCGCACGAGGCCCAGCACGGGCAGGTAGTAGGGCACGCCGCAGTACACCCGGCGCGCGCACTCCTCCGGGCTCACCTCCTCCGCCGGTCCCACTGAAATCGATCGCTCCGGATGTATCGTCTCACGCATTCCCTTCGCCGTCCGTGCGCTACTTTTTAAATTGCAATATATAGACGAAGCGTATTGAACGTATCTATGTTTTTATAATGATGCACTATTTTTAGATTCATTATAAAATAACAAAACAAACGAACCACGACTCTGCGACGGTAACGATATGTCTACCGATAAGAACGTCCTGGTTTAAAAATTGAATAAAACGTTCCACGTTCAATGTGAGGTGGTGCACTGTCTTGTTGAAAATAAAGGTCGTCTGCATCAATATCATCAAATTCCGAAAAGGAATATTCGGTTAACATCGAGTTATAGCGCTCGCCATTCACGGTAACAGGGTTTCCTTAGTCACTTTCAAAGAAGTACGGACCAATGGTGCCACCGTACCATAAACCGCACCAAACTGTTTTTTTTTGCGGATACAATGGTGATCCATGAACCACACGTAGATTTGACTAACTCCAATAACGACAATTTTATTTATTAACAAATCCATTGAGCCAGAAATGGGCCTCATCTGAGAAGATGATTTTACGATGAAAATCGTCATCGGCTTCCATCATTTCCAGTGCATAATCAGCAAATTCATACCTTTAATTCTTGTGCCAAAACAATTTTGTATGGGTATAAGCCCAAATACAACCGCAAAATACGCCAGGTGGTCATTGGAGAGAGCGCCAACTTTCATGAACAGCGTTGAACTGATCGATTTGAATTCGCATCAACACTGACCTGAACGGCTGCGATATTCTCTTCACTACGGGCATTTCTTTGTCTCACAGGCACAGCAGTATCGTGGAGAGTGAATTCACTTTCAAATTTTGTTATTATGCGATTTATAGCGCGCACAGAAGGAGCACTATGAAGACCGTTTTTTGTAGCGGTAGGAGAACGCGAATTTGCGTAATAATTTTGGACAATTTTCCAAGCGTCGGTTTAAAGTGAAACGTGACATGATAAAATGGCAAACCTCACTGAACACAAATGTCAAGAGACGTCAAAGATCCATCATCAAACATGGCCGCTATGAGCTGTCAATCCCAGGTCATCCCTATCGGTAGACCCGGTATATCTATAATCTGCAAGAAGTAGTGCGTGACGTCGGCGATTTCATCTGCCTACGTGACAACGCACGTTTTCTCGATTTACACACTTCCATCTCTTTATTTGATATGATCGTATCGTCTCGACGAGGCGTACGGTGCGGTACATACTGTATCTGTCGAGCGTGTAGCGCGTGTTGGCGTCCAGCTCGGGCACCCAGTAGAAGTGTTCGGTCGCTGCGGGCGCTATGCGCGCGTGCAGCGTGCGGCGCGTGTGGAACAGCATGAGGCGCTGCGGGCGCTCGGCGCTGTAGGGCGCGGCCGCCAGCGCGCCGCCCGCCAGCGCCGCGCCCACTGCGCATGCGCACGCGCCCGCCAGCGCGCACACCTGCGCACGCACACGCATAGCGGTTAACGAGCCGTCCGTCCGAATCGATCAGACCTGTGTATCTGAACGTTGCGCGATGATCGTTCGTCGTTTTCATAAAAATATCACCGGTCGAACTAAAGTAACCTTTAAACGTTCGATCCGTAATCGAACCGGATCGTGTTTATAAATATCGAGCCCGGCCGAGCCGCGGGGACCGAACATTATTATATTATAGCTGACAGCCGACGCTAGAGGTGACCGATGAGGTTTTTATTTACTACAAAGAAAATTCAACATGAGGATATTATTGAACACGACACTCACCTGTTTAAAAACTTTAGAGAATTAAGTAATTAAGACTGAGACGGAATCCATAAAACAATTTAAGCGAGAGCTGTGATGAATTGCCTGCTCGGATACAGTTGAGACTTTTAAGAGTAGTTTGCTCCCTTAGTCGCCTCTTACGACACCCACGGGATAAATAGGGGTGGTGACATTCCGTATTCTGAATCCGTCACCACACGGAAAACTACGCAGGACAACAGCACTGCAAAGAGAAGGAAAACTTGAAACAAACCCTATATCAACCCGTCTGGCCAGCGTGGTATAGTGAGAGGACTATGTCCAGCAGTGGACTATTCTAGGTTGTTGATGATGATAATTTTAAGAGTATAGATCCTTAGAGATGATAGATCCGAATGGAAAACGTGACAACAACAACTAAGTTGAAAAACCATCCCTCTCTGTAACTAAAATAGTTAATTCTATGAATAATCAATTCTATGGACACTAGTTGATTGTATGCAATATATTTGAAACAAGTTTATTGCCGAACTGTTCATTTTACCATAAATTTTATATTAACAAAACTGACATTCATATGTACAATGTCGAAATAAAATAAATGTATGAGTTCAGAGGACCAATATCGTTCTCCAGGTTCACTCGATCGCATTTAACTTTTTTCCTAAAACCTCTTACCCCTTTACCCTCACTAGCACGAATAATTTCATTAGCATCGATTAAAAAGCCAAGCAAGTTTAGGTCGCCTTATAATATAGGTGAAACGATAGTAAAGGTATGTGTGTGCAAACCGCACCAGGGTGCGCGTGTCCCTGGTGGCCACGACGAAGGGCAGCAGCCAGCTCAGCGCCGTCAGCACCAGCGCCGCCGTCAGCAGCGCCATCACCACCTGCCGCCAACAACGCACACTTACTAGCTTAGCACTTTTATATGTGTGTCACATGTAAACTGAAAGTTGAAACAATCAAAGTAAACTGAAAGTTGAATCTTGAAGAACGGGACCTGTCCATCTTGTGGCTCTGTGTAGACAGCGACGACTATCCCCGCGTATACGCATGCCTCTACAGGTCCCATAGCGTTGGCACCGAAACTGATCGACTGATGGACTACGTCCAAATGGCTACAGATTCTGTGATGTAACAGATCCCATCCGCATAGATCGTGATACTTGGCGACTTTAACGCTTACAACGCCGAACGGCTTGGCTCACGTAAAAGCGATTACGCGGGGAGATCTGTTCACGATTTCGCCCTGACCTATGGCTCGTCACAACTGGCGTCAATGCCCACGCGAGTTTCAGATGTAGAACACATCAGCCGTCGTCACACCGTAATCAAAGTTCGGTTTCAATTCAGTTCCGATTAACTTTCGATGTCACAACTGTCATAAATGGTATTTTCGTAGTGATTAAATAGTAGTAAATGGGCCTTCAGATAGATCACTGAGGCAAGGGACACGATCAAAATGCGATCGGGTCCTAAGACTCGGTGATAAGCGAGAGGAAGCCTTTAGCAAGTCTCGGGTTTTTACTCTTGGCTCCTGTTTCCCCTAGGAGTCGGAGATCCGAAGGGATATTGTACCCCGTCAACAATAGAAAAGGCCCGTACTAAATACTGAAAGTATTTATAATGTTTTAGTTTTGAATAGTGCAGATGGGTACGTACGTCCGGCGGCAGCGCCCCGGCGCCGGCGCGGCCCATGATGGGCACGAACATGCGCAGCGTGTTGAGCAGCAGGTACGAGGTCTGCAGCAGCGGCAGCGCCGCCCCCAGCGCCCAGGCCGCGCCGCGCGGGGCCCGCAGCACGCCGCCCAGCGCGTCCGCGCCCGCCGGCAGCAGCGTCCACAGCAGCGGCAGGAAGCCCGAGCGCAGGCCGCACGCCGCGCACGCCAGCAGCGCCGCGCCGCCCAGCGCCGCGCCCGCGTCGTGCATCGCGCGCGCGCCCCAGCCGCCGCGCCGCCCCGCCCAGCCGCCCCACGCGTCCCACAGCGCGCCCGCCAGCGCCCAGCACGCCGCCAGCCCTGCAACGCGCCACCGTCAGCTCGCGCGTCTCGACCCGCCGCCCTCCGCCCGCCGCGGGACTCACCGGGCGCCACGTACAGCGGCACGAGCAACAGCGGCCGCGAGTAGAAGGCGAGCCGCGCGCCCAACGCGTGCAGCAGCGCCGCCACCCCCGCCGCGGCCGCCACGCCGCCGGCGCTCGCCAGCACGCTCACCGCCATCGCCACGCCGACCTGGCGCCACCACGCGCCGTAGGCGAGGTACACTGCGGCAGACGCGGACGCGGTCAAGTCTCCGACGGGTAGGACGAGCGGGACGGAGCTCTCGGACGGGTACTCACGTCGGCGGCGAGCGTCGCGCGCGTTGAGGTGTATCTTGAGCAGCAGCAGCGCCAGCGTGGCGGCGCAGAGCGCGAGCGCGGCGGGCGCGCGCGCCGCCAGCACGGCCAGGCCGAGCACGTCGAAGAAGGCGGGCTGGCGCGAGGCGGGGTCGACGGCGGAGCGCACGCCGTCGCTGGCCAGCAGGCCGCGGGTGAGCGCCAGCACGTTGTCGCCGGTGCGCTGCAGCGCGGCGGGCGGCACGCGCTCGGGCGTGTCCAGCCGCGTGTGGTACACGTACCCGTTAGCGCTCCACGCCAGGTCCACGCCTGCGACGAGAGCACCCTCACTCGTCGCTCTACTCGCATACTCATTACATTTTTGTTTCGACGATCAAACGATTAACCGAAAAAATAGATCTCCCTGACGTCGAAAGTCCAATTTAGCTACCCACGACTTATGTAATATTTGTATCCGTATACGCTGATGAAATTACTATGAAATCGTCCCCGTCACTATTGTGATCAGATCGCTTCATATGTTATACTAATGTCTATAAATATTATGTCGATTAATAAGGAGATTACCTCTGATAATGTTTTTGTTTATATTTTTACATCACATTTTAATTTTGAAGGGAAGTTTAATCATTTAGATAGTAATCGAAGTGTTGTATGTAAGAAAGTGAGTATGGGTTACCGGAGAGCTTGCCGAAGTCGCGGAAGATGCGGAAGTCGGTGTCGGCGGGGATGGCGCCGCTCTGGAACAGCTCCTGCGCCAAGGACGAGGCGAAGGGGTGCGGCACCGCGCCCGCGTACACCTGCCACACCACACGCGCGTCACTCGCACACACACACACACACCTGCCGCTCCTACTCATCGTTTACTTTCGACATATAATATTACTATTCTTACAGAATAAATGATTTCGAACCGATATACTTGGCACATGGAAAACTTAAGAAGAATTTCTTCGTCAATAAGATGCTGCTCGGTGTGTGTGGTTCACAAATTGTTCTTGTCAGTCTGGGTGTTCTTTGTGTCCGTTTCATAAATGTTTGTGAAGCAACACAGGATATATTCCTGGTACGGGAATTATTTTTAAAAAAAGACGCCCTTTGAGTGCCCAAGAATCAGGTAACCTCATTCACTTGACGTAAAGCAATGAAAGAAGAATTGGTTAAGAACGGTTTTCTGCTTCGGCCTCCGGTATCGCTCCGGTCGAGCCGGGCCCGTTTGTGCCGAAGCATGGCTGTTCCGTGACACCATACAATGTAACTACCGCCCCATCAGTCTTATTATCAGACTATCACATGTTTTTATTCTATCAATAGGATGGATGTTATGTAATTAAGGAAAAGGGAAATTGAGAGAATGCCTAATGGCATTAAGTCCGCCTTTGTACAGTATGTGCATTAAGATAAAAAAAATGTATGTGTATAATTATCACATGTATATTTATAGTATTAAAACTGTGCACACGTCCGTGAGGTATTTTTGAAAACCGCTGTGGTCAATTTTAGGGGTCATAGCAAAGGCTGAGTTGTGGCCCTTAAATCACACAATAGATAATTTTATTCTTTCGTAATTGTTTGTTTTCTTATTGTTTGTGTCATTCTTTAGTTCAGTGAAGTGTTTATTTTCTTTTTCTCTTTATTGTTATATCTCTATTTATTTTGTTGTGCGTGTGTTGTGGCTAATAAACGTAATTTCTTTCTTCACCACAACATAGCGGTTACAAAGCCGAAGTCGAGCCTTCAATGTTTACATACATAGATGTAGCGAAGGAAGCCAACACTAGTGGAACATATAAAGGACGGTGTTTACCTCCACAATCCAGGGGTCATGCGGCCCCGCCTGGAACATCACCTCGCGGCCGCCCGCGCCGCACGCCTCGATGTTGATGAACGCGCGCACCGACTTCGCCCACCTGCGCACCACACGCTTTACTTGCAGAGTCGACACAAGCTCATAAATACGATACACCACAAATTAGAAACGGTCAAAAGTGTCAGTGGGTTCCGCAAAACGTCGACCGGAGATACCGATCGGAGGTCGACACTCGAACCCGCAGGCTAATAACAAAGCTGTCCGTCAGTGAGTCCGTTGACGTGTGATGCGTGATTTACGTATGGTGTCGGAGGTATTGTGGAGTACTTGTGCTGCGTGATGAACGCGTGCGAGGCCTGAAGGATGTTCTCCTCGGCGCCGTTGAAGAGGAAGATGGCGTCGTGGCGCAGCGGGCGGCGCGTGGCGGCGAGCGCGCGCAGCACGTCCAGCATCACCGCGCACCCCGCGCCGTCGTCGCTCGCGCCTGCGCATACCACCACACGCTCACTATGTGGTATACTTTTTAATAGGTACTTCAATTCAACAAAAATATCATAAAAAGCTCTATGAACGAAACGATTAATTATTTTCTATAATTAGAGACCATGTGACTGGCGCCACTTCGTCTGCGGGCGGGTCTTAAAAGAAATCAATTTTCTCCGTTATTGCAACATTTTTTATTGATGCTCGGTTCCTAATAGTCGTAGCTGACGGGCCTGTTGGTCTAGTGGTTGGTGACCCTGACTGCTAAACCGGAGGTCGTGGGTTCGATTCCCATCCAGGACAAGTATTTGTGTGATGAGCACGATCGTTTGTTCTATGTCTGGGTGTAATTTATCTATAATATGTATGTATTTAGAAATATATAAGTATGTTTATCAGCGGTCTGGTTACCATAGTACAGGCTCTGCCTAGTTTGGGATCAGACAGCCGTGTGTGTGATGTGTGAGTTTATTATCATTTAGATACAAAAAAACTATAAACAAGGAAACTATTCAAAATAAATTCCTTGTACCGTGGTTTCGTAAAAAGAAAAAAACATCCTGGTTGGAAACTGGTTTCGTACAAAGATCATTTTTCCTCCTCAACTGGTTACGAAGCATCAATTTGTCGGCATCAATTTGAACCGCTGGTTCCTCAGATTAGCCCTGTGATATGTGACTATTTCTTTTAATTTCTTTCTTCTAAACGGCTGGACCGATTTTTATGAAAATAGGGTTTGTGTCAAGTTTTCTCTTGCAGTGTAGTTTTGCGCAGTTAGATCCCTTAGTCGGCTCTTGCGACACCCACAAGATGAATAGTCCGTATTCATAAACCGTGACCACACGGATGCGGTATTAAGTATAAATTCTATTGTACCGCTTCAGGGATGATTGAATCAGAGAAATAGTTTTAGGGTACACGTACGACCGTTTATTATAAAGACCAATGATACACTGCCGTAATACCTGTTGATTAATTATAGGTACATTATTATATCTGATACATAGAATAAACATTGTAGAGACATGACATAACTGTTTACGTTTACATAGAGCAAGTACGAATAATTATATTATGTGCCTACGGCACACTATGTTCACCTAGCTTCTCTCAAACTCGACTGATTTTAAGACGACAAAAACGAGAATTAAATGAGCTCGTTTTTTAACTAATGGTTCTTCAATATTAATATAAATCTCGACAAAACACACGTTTCTACTCGTACAATAACAGACGGGTGACATTTATAAAATTGTTATTAGTTGCTTAGATTATTTTATTCCATCACCATAGGCAACTAATAATTGGAATGAGATTAAATTATCGTCTGTGTGTGATCCACTGAATGCTCACCAAAACTACACGAGATCAAACACGAGCAGGCATCAACTTTGCGGTCAATTCGGAGATCGTGACTGCGTGACAAGTAAACGGTTATTAGTTACATGGGAAGTTATTTAAAACGAGGGACGCACGTCAGCCGTGACGAAGAACGGACACCATCGCTAATTATGTCTGCCGTACATCAAATTGTCCGTGTGGTGACGGATTAAGAATACGTAATGTCACTACCCCAATTCATCCCGTGGGTGTTGTAAGAGGCGCAAAACAACACAGGACACCAGCACTGCAAAAAGAAGGAAAACTTGATACAATCCCTATAAGTACCAACCCGTCTGGCCAGCGTGGTATAGTAGGCTAAAACCTCCTTTCTAAGGAGAGGCCTATGTCCAGCAGTGGACTGTTAAAGGCTGTTGATGTGTGATGTGTGATGTACATCAAATGCAATCTTCGCAGAGTGAAGCTCTTGTACGAGCATTACTTTGTAACATACATGTTGCGGTTGCCCTGTTAATCAATAACCTACTTACATGTCCAACATTATGGTTCAGAATTATATGGACAATAGGGAATATGCACGTGACACCAAAATGGACAAAATATTTTTATTTGTAATTTTTATTGCTAAAAAAAGATACCCATACAATTATTTTTGAAATTTATTATAATTTAATAGTGAAATTTAATCATCAAAAATTGGCTTTCTTAAGATTCCCTCGCAAATTTCTAAAACGCAACGCTATTGGTTGAATAAAACGTGACGTCAACCTACACTGTCAAGAGTGTCAACAAGTTGTGTGTATTTGTAATATTATTTGTTTCATTTTAAGTTAATAACTAATACGTTTTCAGTGTTAAATTATTAAATTCCCGTGTAGAAAGACTCAACACAATGACTGAATATACTTTGTCAGGTGCAGTTTTGATATTATTTGGGCACAAAGAAACTTCACAATATTTATAATAAGTTTTAATTGGCTGTTCCATGGTAATAACTTAATTTTTATCACTCACTTTTTTAACTTTCACAAACTTTGTGAACTTTACTCCGTTGTTGACATCGAATTCGTCTGAAAGTGTAATCTGACGTCACAAAAAAAGCGCGCCAAAATGGACGTGTTCAAATTGCCCCAAAATGATGTTGATTTTAATAATTTTTTTTTTGCTTAACGGTTTATATTTCGGATGTGTTATATTTATTTTTGGTAATGTAATAACTAGTAGAATCGTTTAAAAAATTAAAAAAATACATGCATATTCCCTATTCACGCTTTACATACATCCTTACATCAAAAACGATTATGTGACGCAGCTTAAGGTAACTTTAATATAGCGTAGGTTTGTACAGTTATACCTCAATACCAATTTAGGGGAAGTAATTACTTAACTATCTCTCTATGTACGCACATCAAATATATTGATCTGTTTGGTCGTTGTAAACATTCTAATTCGTACTAAGCACAACAGTAAGTTAAATACAAAGTACGTACTTAAACTCTAATTTAAACGCATCTAAGTAATAAACTGTTACCTACAACATTTTAAATAACTAAAATAATATATACTTTTTTTGTTAATTATTAACAACCTTTTTCTCACGAGAACTTCTTAAACAAAGACCGTTTAAGTCATGCAGGCACCGCGTGCTTACATAGTGATGTACTTAGAGGAGCTGAGATAGAATACATTTTTGTTTCTTGTTTCACTCACTAACCTCCACCTAATGGAGGAAATATGCGATTGAAAATACCCGGCCGCGCGGTTAGCGTTGTGGTTATTAAACAGTATCAGGTTATGTTTAAAGTATGTAAGTAAGTTTACTTTCGTGTATCATATACCTATCAGCGTAGATACAATTATCTTTAAAAATACAGGGCCGCGCCGCCCTGTGTGCGAAGTGTGAGGCACACACAGGTGCCAAGACAATAGGGGCGCCGCCATCGAAATTATTTTTGTTACACTTACACAACAACATATACTTTGTAGTGGAGTATCGATAAGCAAGTGGGTACCACAGGCGCAACATAAGCCTTGTAAATAACAAAACATATATTGCGTTTATTGTACAAGTCTCTAATCAAGTTATAATCAAAAGAAACGCCGTGAGTTTCTTTGAATGAGTTTATGAACGCAACCCTATGCGATGCGTGCGACGCAAGCGGGGTGGGGTCACGGGGATTCCCCGACTATAAGCAACGAGAAAGCCAAAACAATTGACCAATCATCCGACCAAAAGTGTGTGCAAGGTGCGAATTGATTTCTTATAATAAGGATAAGTTCTAGCACTAAAACAATATATAATTTGTGTGTTACTGATTGTTTTAACGTGTTTTCACGATGAGTGATAGTAATCAATATAAAAAAAAAGAAATTATCTGGTTACCAGAATCTAATAAGCAAAAGAAAACAAGAAGAAGAACGTGTATTTAATATTCTACCATCCACTTCCATAGAAATTTATGATGCCTTTGAAATATCATATGTTATATCATGTGATCAGAAGGCAAAACATGACGCTAAATGTCTGGCAGAAAAATTTTTTTGCTCCTTTTCATTCATTTGTTCACTAAATATATGGCATATAGGTAATATTGACAAAATTTTGTGGGCAAAATTCTGCAGTCCATCGATATGAATATGCAAGTTGCTTTAGATGCTTTAACGGTATTAAAGAAGTATTTGATAAAAATTAGAACCGACGCAAATTTTGAGGAAATTGTAAATGATGCCGTGAAAACTTACAGAAAATTAGATTTCGAGGCTGAATTTGAAACTTCCAGATCCAGATCCTAAGACGTCGTAAGACTCCAAAGAGTTTTGATTATGAACACGAAGACCACACTATAAACTATCCAATTAATGTATATTTTATATATTGGATCAAGCTTTATTCTCCGTAGACGAAAGATTTAATTTATTGAATAATCAAAATGACGTGTTTAATTTTTTATTTAAACTAAGTGATGACCAAGATCAAAGTCGATTAAGAAGAAGTTGTCATCGTTTGCAGGATGAAACTTTCAGCAAATGATTCATTGGATATTAACGCCGATGATTTGAACGTCATTCTTTTTTCAAAAAATTAAATAATGATGTGTAATGATTGATAATGATTATGTATTTAAACAATTTGACAGCTGCATGCCCTAACATCACCATAGCTTTGCGAATTTTGCAAACTATGCCAGTTACCGAAGCAAGCGCGGAAAGGTCCTAACTTATAAAACAATTACCTGCGCTCAACAATGAGATAGGAAAAGATTAACAAATTTAGCAACAATATCCATAGAGGAGGCCATATGAGACCATATTATATACACGAAACTATTAAGGATTTCGCAAACATAAAAGCGAGAAGAGTGGAAATAATATAATTTATATATGTATGTTTATATTCTTACACATTTTAGACTCTTGTTGTTTTTTAAACATAGCATAGTTAGCATGGCACGTAATAGTTAAACCAGTATTATTAGAAAAAAGTCAGGTATTTTGTTAATAATATCTAAGTATACAATTAGATATAACATAATAAATAAAGTGTGTAAAAATGTAATTCGTGTTTTATTTTTCGCAGTAATTGGCATGCGGAAGCGAACTGGTTTTACCTATTTAGGAAAATATTATCTAAGTAGATAAAACTGGAGAACATTTATTTACTGTTTTACTGTAACAGCACCTAGCACGATTGTCATAAAACCCGGCTCAATAACCATTCTAGTTGAATCTCACCAACTATGGTTAATTTTGAAGATGCACAGCTTGTCTAATATTGGTTTGCAGTTTTTAGTCACGCAATGGTAACGATGATTTCTACGTACTGGCCGGCCATTCCTGTGGTCGATAAGCACACAATTAAACAAATTACGCGGTGCTATCTATTGAGTGTGTGATCTTGTGTGATGACACAACATGGTGGGCAATAGATGGGCGATTGGCTCCATTGAGATCGAGTCAGCCCGCGCCTGCGATGGTGCGCCCAACTCATTAGAGTAAGCACATTCCGACACATTGAGGTCAATTAGACGTGTTAGCGCGTTTATTCTTTATTTCGGCGCATGCTTGCACTGATTTCACGGGTATTCACAATAGGAAAAAGATTTTAGTGGTCGTTTTTAAATTTTTTAAGCCTTAGCCTTAGAAGTTATTGAAACATCAGGTACACGAGATTGGTAACGATATTTAATTACTAAATCTGCTATACACTTCACGTGCTCCTTCCACTCACAGTACTCCAGTGTCATTCACATTTCACTTCCCTGCTATCTATTATTTTAGTAACGAAGATCTACCCGAAAGTTGCAAGACAGCACAGTTGTACACTGAACAGTATGGACTCTCTGGACCATGGTCAAACTATATTTTTTAGTTTAATGGACTAATAACTATTAGTGAAGTTACAAATTTATTTTTATGGGTCAAAAGAAAAGGAATTCCCTACTTCCGGCGTTGCTACTGTTAAAATGCAGGGTAAAGGCGATAAGGCACCAGGGACTTCCTTTCTAGGGTATACCTGGTTCCCCGGCTATTAGTACCCGAGACGGCGTTCGGTTTTAGTCGGTTCGAGTCCGACATGCCACCGATAGGTGGTATCCGAGGGGATTTCCGCACGGAAATAAAAAAAAGGGTAAAGGCGATAAAGGGTTTTGATCGCTGTGAATGACCAGTTCACGCAACGTCAACAGTTCCTGACAAGTTTCGATGAGTGAGGCGCCAGCTAAATGTGGGACAATGGAACGAGCGCGGGCTCTTCGTGTTCGGAAAATAGGGGAGTGTGTTAGTAGTATTTAATTAACTTAGTGCGTGATGCGTATTAATAAGCGAGGTTAGTTTTTATCTTTTCATTGCTAAAAATTAGAACAAAATGTTCAATTTTTTTTTAAGATTTCATGCGTGCGATTACAATTTGCATATAAAATAAAAGTTTTCAATAAAAATGCAACAAGGTCCGCCTCGTGCTCCTCATGCGAGCTGTTATACATACGGGTAAGCATAGGTGGTTTATTTAGGCTTATTTCCTTTTGTTTGTAGTTTTCCTATTCATCTGAAATGTAACTTTTCTACAAAAACATTATATTCTCCGCAACTCTTAACTCAATCATATGATATTGTGATGGACATGAATTAGTAATCCTGACTGCTGGCAGAGGTCGTGGCATTGATTTCCTCCCAGGACAAATAATTGTGTGATGAGCATGATCTTTTGCTCTGTGTCTGTTTTATTTCTCTATTTAGATTATTTAGTAATATATAGGTCATCAAAAGCCTTTACTAGTCCACTGCTGGACATAGGCCTCTCCTTAGAAAGGAGGTTTTGGCCTACTATACCACGCTGGCCAGACGGGTTGGTATAGGGTTTGTGTCAAGTTTTCCTTCTCTCAGCAGTGTTGTTGCCCTGCTTAATTTGGTCCCTTAGTCGCTTCTTACGACACCCACGGGATGAATAGGGGTGGTGACACTCTGTATTCTTAATCCGTCACCAGACGGACATATATAGGTAAGCATGTTTATCTGTTACGATAGCACAGGCCCTGCCTAGTTTGGGAACAGACGGCCGCGATGTTACATATTTAGCTGTAATAAGGAATGTTCAGGTATTTGTTATCGCACTCATTTTGTATACTTACAAGTATGTGAGCAGAAGCACGTAGTTGGCCTGATGGCAAGCGATTACTGTCTTAGTGATTACGACGAATATATGTACAAGTTAACGATCAACTCTTCTTACTCGTGGCGTCTGCGCACTGAGGCAAATGCTCTTGATACCAACGCGACAGTAAACATCTACCAAAGCAAGCTCCCATATTGTAATCTTACTAGTGACCGCCCAGAGATCAAAGTTCATTAAATTCTTGAAAATAAATAACCTAAATAAGTTCATATCGGTCCATCATACTGAATAGCTCATTGCCAAACCGTAGTAATTATCAAAAATAATTAATATTGTTTAATTTTAAGCTTTCACTTCGCGAAAGTGTAATTTTTTTAGTTAATCCACCAAAGAGTTATACACTCCCGCTTTTAGTTTAAGTTAGATTCACGTGACAGTGTAAAAGAAGAAAAACAAGCTATTTAAAAAAAAATATTATTTAATTTTAAAAGTATTAGCAGTTGAAGTCAATTATACTACGAGCAGGACACAAGTCGGCATACGACCGGTTAGTGACAGTTTTATACGAAAAACGACATGTCACGTGACACATATTAGAAGTATTGGGATCAAAGTAAGGTTAATGACCTGTATTGCCAACTTATCTGGCACCAACTACACACAGGTTCGTGTAGTCACAACGCCTCGCGGTCTACTCTAGTTTTGTTTTAATAATAGGACACCGTTGACGATTATTGTTCAACAGGGGACCGTCGCACAACGTGACGTTGGACTTTGGACAATCAGAGTCGAGCTCTTAAAGAGTCGTCAAAGCTGAAGAGTGAGGTGCATAGTTACCGGGGCTGTCGGGCACGGTATCGAAGTGGCAGTTGAGCAGGATGGCGGTGCGCGGGCGCTCGCGGCCCCCCGCGCCCCGCACTCGCGCCACCACGCTCTGCACGTCGCGGTACACGTTGTTCATGCCTGCGCACACAGCCACGTTAGCAAAATCCGCAAGGAACCCCCCGCCCACCCATCTCGGCTGCTACGCACCGTCCATGAAGGAGAGCGCGAAACTGCCGCTGGCTCGCTGCACATCCAGCTCCACGTGGTTGTGCACCGAGGCCTGCGCCGCGATGCTCTTGATAGCGGACACCAACACCCCCACTGAAACCACCTCGTTCTCGTAGCTGCCCGCCACCTGACACGACACTCTAAGTTACCGTCACTTTGCCCGCTTACAACTATTGTGTTATTCCTTTTACAAGTTGACATATGAATACTAAAGCATATAGTGGAACTGTAGCAAGTAGATCCAACAAGAAATATAGACGTCAAGATGACATTTTCTCTGCCCTAATACTGTACTTGTCTTCTACATTAATGTAAACAATACAATATCTGTATAGAAAAGGTCAATTGAGTGCCATTTGGTCAATTAAATTCACCTTTCAGAAGGACCAACTAAGCAGTAATGCCACTAAAGGATGCCAATAAGGAACCGCAGACATTGAATTTGAATCATCAAACACTGAATTTATATGGATATTGATTATGCAACATTCAAATAAGTATCAAATGTATTATCCAGCCACGTCTGATGTCAATAATAATAAAATTTAAATTGGTAAGTTTTGAGAAATAAAAGCATTTAAATACATTTGCATAGAAAATGGGTTTTTTTAACCCTCAATGTGCAACGCACCCGAGGCCCAATGGCGGTGAGGTTAACGAGGTGTTCGTACGCGATCTGAGCGATGAACTGCTCGGGGTGTCCCTTGGCGCGCGTCACCGGCTCCGGCAGCGCGTAGTCGATGGTGAGCGTGGCCAGCACCGCGCACGCGCTCACCGCCAGGCCCGCGCACAGCCACGGCCACGTCAGAGGCAGTGGCTTCACCTTGTTCTCCTTCACTAAGTCTTCAGTTGCCTAACCAAACATACCACGAGGAGATTAGTAGCACATTAAAAAGGTAGCATCCTAGTCAATTTATGTAACAAAATTTTATAGGCTAGAGGAAGACCACTAAGGCGTCATCTACATGCTGTAGATGGCCCAGGGTACGTCAGGGTACCAGGGATATCCTTCCTAGGATACACCTGGTTTTGGTGACATAATTAATTTGGCGACAACACCACAAATTATTGTTTTCCAAACACAGACTTCAGTGTATAAACATCTACCGAAGTGTGTTTAGAAAACAATCATTTGGAGGAATGGTACGGCCAAAGCGTTCGATACTGTCTCTCGGGAGGTATTAATACGGAAACTAGCTTTCAGGAACTGGTGGAGACGCTCTAACATAGTCCAAATCGTATTTAAGAGACAGGAGACAAATTAGTCATGGGAGACTACTACCCACTGGGCAGTGGCCTTGGCCCGACGCTGTTTATTGTATACGTAGATAGCCCATGTGCCCTGGAGCTAGGCCAAGCAAAAATAGTTACCTATGCAGATGTGACTTGACCTGTGAACTTGGAGTGATACCCAGGTCAACATGGAACTGGGCATGCAAACCGTCGGCAACTGGCTCCAATAGAATCTCCTGACTATATTTTTTATTTCTATGTATCAATGCGATGTTCTCCAAAACTCGCGAACCTTGACTGCACTCATGCTTAGCATTAAAAACCTGTCAGTGCCCTCTAATAGGACAATAGTGTCGCAGATCAATTGGAAGGAGAATGTAAATTTCATGGGGCCCTACATATGCACCAAAATTAACGCCAAACTGGATATTAGTGCGATACTAACAAACACAGCTTACACACACGCACGCACGCACGCACGAACGCACGCGCGCGCGCGCGCGCACATACACACACACACACACACACACATATACACACACACAGAGAGACACATACACACACACAGAGAGACACACACATATAACGCAAGCACACACACTCCATGTGTGGCACTTCCTTATTTGTATATTTCTTGTATTTTTTTTCTCTCTTTACTTAATTATAATTTTTACTTTTTTCTATTTTTATTAATGTCTCGTAAATCAAGTGGACCGAAGGAGACTAGATCCCACATACTAGGATTTAGTGTGGGAGAGATCAAACCCTGTATCTGTGATATTTCTAAGACAATGAAATAAAATTTATTATTTTTATTTCATTTAGTAGATCTTTATCTACTTCATACCTAGTTTTTACTTCTATTAAGCCATTAAATATGGTATATCTTACATAAACATACCACATTTTACAGCTTCACTATGTTAATCAGCAGTCCACTTATCATAAGTACAGGCTCTAATTTGCAGTTTTCCCCAGTCATCACCACTGTTTTTGATCCCAAGGGTGATAAATTCACAAATAGGAAAAACATGAGCCTTACGTTGGCAGTAGTGACAAATGGCATAAGGTATTGCCAGTCCCCATGGATTTAGGTAGTGTAGTTATTCAAACTCAAAATATCTTTTAGTTCATAAAAAAAAAACAGACTAAGGATATAGGTCAATACAGACAATGGCGACAATCAGTTTTGTCTACTATTTAGCAAAGAAGTACATAAGTATTTTATCACTCAATCTAGCTTTCATAGTACAAGCTCTGCTTAGTTTGAAACTAGATGGTGTTGTGTGTCAGAAGTCTAAAATATTCTTATGAAAAAAAAAACAATCCGTTATATGTCTCTGCTGATCTACATCTGCCAATTTACAAAGGGTTGAGCCTTATGAGAAGAAAGGGTAAACAAACTCATGGCCACTCTTTTTTAATTTCTGCTGGATACAGTTCTAAAAGGTAAAAACAATGAAGAGAAAACAAGATAAAGAAAAAAGATGGAATAGAATCAAAAGTAAAGTAAATAATGAGAAAAATAAATAAAAACACACTAGCGAACGCAACATTTAACAAAATATTTACAAGTGTTGTCTTAAGACCCCCATTTATAATTTTTAAAATTTAAGGCAGCAATGAGTAAAAATTCTCAATTTGGACTACAATTTGTTTTACTGAACCAAACTACACGGACTGCTGACCTTTCTCATGCAGTATCATCCACTCAGTTTGTATAATCATAGTAAACTCTGAATAGATCTACCTTTCTCTTGCACAGTCTAGCGCCTTCCTCAACTGTCTAACACAGAGTTTAAAGTGTGGTACACAGTGAACATACCAGGATATACCATTTTAAGAACAGTTTTATTTTATTCATGAGCGTCAAGCATCAACCGTTACCCATTCATTGTTGCAATGATTTAATCAGTTAGTTTTACATATATTAAAGCTATAGGTACTTGTAAAGAGTAGTGTTTGTATAAATACAAGTAGGTAATGCACCGCACCACTTAAGATAGCTTTTGCAACATCAACTCTTCGAGAGTGACGACCCCGATAAACTATAGGAGGCAGTAAAGGCGGACACGTTAGAATTATTACATGAACAGATTTGTTTCGGAATAATAACTCCCTGACCAAGGTTATATTTCTTTAGAACTGAAATAATTAATTTTAAAATATTATTTTCTTACCATGACTTATGGTCCTTTTTATGAACTCAATGGTGGTTTTACGTAATCTATTTTTATTCTACTGTCATTAAATAAACTATTGTTTTTTTTTCAATAGTACGTCAATTAAGTCCAAACCGCCAGTCATAAAATAATTAATCCACCGGCAGCGGTTCACCGGTAGACTGCGGCAGAGGCAAACTCCAATGACTGTTCATTGTCAAAAAAGTGACACTTAGTATGACGTTACATATGAATGATAGCAATTTCAATAGGCACGTCCACAAAAAAGTCGAAACTAATTCTCAGAGTGGATAAAAAATGGCCCAGTCAACTTGAAATCTATCACTAAATGTTTCCAATGATAATTTAGCATTTTTCATTAAAATTATCTATCAAACATAAAAAGGGTTATTTGTACATTTTTTTTAAATATCCTAAATGTATGTATGCAAACAAACAAATCAAGAAACAAACCATATCACCATCGAATCAGATAGATTTTCGATTGCTGATTACAGACTCGATTATCATTACGGAAATACGGTCATAATAAAAAAACACCACCTTCTTTTAATACGGTGGGGTGGTGGTCTATCGGAATCAAACCGACTAAAATCACAATGCCTCACTGCGTCTAAAATAGGAGGGATCTGGAAACAGCTTTTATTAAGACATCCGGACTCTTCCTAGCCCCTTAATCGCAAAAGCGCAGCAATCACCTTCAGGTAAAAACTCTCGTTTATCTGGGGGATCTTTCTTACGGACCCTCTCCTTCTTTGGTGAGCTGACGTCCTTGTAGAAGGATAATACCATGATAACATATGGCCTGTAGCAAGAGACACTCTCCGATGACTGCAATAAGAGCCTGACGTTCCGTCGGTCAAGCAGAGCAAGCCGCCTGCATTCGACCCTCTCCGCCATGTGACAGGATAAACGAGAACTGTTGGCTCATTTGGCCGATGATTGTGATCGAGAACGGTCCTGGACCTTGAAAGCGTCCTAACCAGATTCCTTCTTCAAACCAGCGTGGTCTGTTATGTTGTAGGTGCAGCCTTTATGACATGCATGTGGAATTTTTATGACTACATCAGGGCTGCCCCAAGCTTTGTGGCTGTGGTTATTGGTTAGAATTATGTCCTGTTACGCCGTTGTATTATTTTAAACCGTTTTTGAACATATAATGATGACAACCCTTATGTAATAGACCATGTGGCTGAGTATGTTAACAATTAAAATGTGCTCACTTGAGTCCTCACTGCAGTCGCAGTGGCGGCAGGTGGGACTCAATTCCCTCCTAGCGACCGAGTGCAGGTACTTTCCAAAGCAGCCGTGCCCGCAAGTACTTGCGTAAGTCGGAAGGAAAGGTTCCCGTGTTGCAGCTCTGTCCACTCGACGATGACCGGCGGCAAAGCCGGCACGTAGACGAGCCAGCCCAGCTGTGATGACCAACCAGTTACGTCACTCACGTAACTCTTTGGGCTGGGGCTGACTACCGAACTCATCCGTCACTTTGGCAAAACACTTCTGCATCCAACGCGCACGCCGTCTACGTCAACACGGTACGGTAACCGCATATGGCTCTGCCTGCCAACACCTTCTCTATTATGTGCGATCAGAGACTCTGTATAGTGCACCAAAGCACCATTGAGTGTACAACTTCTAGAGTGACTTCAATTACAGCTGCTGTTGTTACAACTATATATTTTTTGTACGCGCACTAGACTCAGTTTTCAAGAGTGTCAGAGAAGTAAAGCAAAGAAGTATTGGCAAGAACGTAACGTAGGTGGAAAATTTACTGCCACAATTCATGTTTATCATTACGTTAGGCAAAATTTTTTTTTGATTAAAAATTTCTGCACCCCTTTGCAACCTCGCGCCGCTAGGTACATGCCTAGTTTGCCTTAGGGTTAATCCGCCTCTGATAGTACCTAGTGATAAGGTTTCTCTTAGAATTGTCATGTGTTGGTGGTAAACCACGCCTAGTGCATACGTGCAGTTATATTTATGGTATAGGTACCAACTACCTTTACTACTTTTTAGTGAGATTTTATAATTTAGTAGTAAAGATTGCTTTGCATAATTTAAAATCGTTAGAAATGTTGGTTTTGATGATATCAGGTGAGAAGTCCTTTAAATAGTGATGAGCGTAAGGTGTGTAAGCACAGACACAGCTCACGATTAAAAAAGAACTTGACCCAATAGAACCTGGACTCACGCAGGAAAATATAATTTAAAAAAACTAACACTAAACAATGGAATAATAATTCAAAATTAAACTCAAAATATCTTTATCACTTCTTTTTTGATTAACAGATAGATACATTATACATCATTAAATATATCACAACATTGTTTTGATGTGTGTCAGTATATCAGTGATTGAGAACTGAAATGTAAAAAGGCCAATGAAGAGAAAACAAGATAAAGAAAAAGATGGACTAAAAAGAAAGTGAAGTAAAATATAAAATAAAAAACATACTTGCCCACATCACATTTCCACTTTGAAATAATCGGTGCTAATTTAATCACCCAAGCATTCTTGTCTTCGATGTAATCCACAATTGACACACAGGCTTTCTGACATAGTTTACGTTTTATTGTGGATTTAAATTTGTTTAGACTTGTATTTGCGGTTACCGCAGTTTTGTATACTATTTAGGATATTTTTTTTATTATAAAATCGGACAAAATAACCTTAAAATGACTTGTTGGACTTTTGGAGCCTAGCGACAAGTACAATAAGTTATTTTTATTTCTAGTATTTTAAGCATGTTTGTACTTCGGTTTTTTTTAAGAAGCTATCTTTATCTTTAAGCGCATATACTACATTTTCATATATGTTTTGACTACACACTGTGATTTGTGATCAAATACCATTTTAGAAGAGAGTGGATCAGTTTTTTAAAACAGGCATAAAATATTTCAGAGTTCATAGGATGGCAGCACTGTTAGTTGTGCTTGAGCTGTTCTTACCATAGATAAAACACTGTAAATCCGGTTCTCTCTTCTCTGCTGTCAAAAAAACTCAAATTAAACGTCAAGTCAGTCATGTCATGTGTATGTGTATATTTTTGTAAAATTGTGAATTCACTTGAGTTTCTTGTACAGTTCTTAGTATTATTGGTTATAAGTACAAAATATAAACGTGATCGTTTTAGTAATAGTTAGCTTTCTTATAAGCTGTGCACATAGTGTATATGAGCCAACCATAGGGGAACATGTCTAACTGGGTTGGATATGCCGTCTCGGTGAACTGTGGCGAGCCACTCGGCTGCTACCAGGGAACTATTTTAGAGGCAGATGGTAACACAATAACTTTAACAAAAGCTTTCAGGAACGGCTTCCCCTACCCCAAGTCTCAAGTGACTCTTAAGTATGAAACAGCCACATTATATTCACTTCTTCGACCAATTTATAGTTCCTGAACAACGATGTTTTATGCTTTCTAGTGCTGCAGATATCAAGGATCTGAAAATAATCGAGTCCCGTGCGGAGCCGTCGGAACAGACGCACAGCACTGTAGCAGTTGCCAAGAATAATAAAAAAGTTCAACGCGCCACTGTGTGCGAGACCCTCCAAGCTAATCCGACTAGTTCCAGTGAGTAGATATTTGTGTTGTAAAGGTATATTATAAGTAACAGAAATAGAACAGCTGGAGATTTTTCTTTTGTTTTTAAATATTGGGAATTTTACATTTTTTGGTGTGCTATTTTTGGAAATTTACTTGATTCTGTTGATTTAACTTGTTATTGTCTAAACATATTGAAGGACAATCATGTTCATATAATGTAAATGTGACAGTCTCTGTATTGCAGTATTATCCAAACAAGTAGCCTCACCTAATTCCAATTATTAAGTGAAGTTTGATCCAAAACTGTGCCTGAGTTATAGTGAATATATAAACATGACCGACTACACAGTAGAAATTATATTTGAAGGTAAAATTGCTCTTTTTGTGATATTAAAAGTGTTAAATGAAATATTGATAGGTATTTGTAAAAGTGAAGGTATTACAAAAAAAAAAGATAACCCCACATTTTTTAACATTTTCGTGAAGTCTCGGTTTATATTGTTTTCTTAAATGACACACAAAAATGCCATACAAATAGATTTGGTATTTAAATATGTTGTGTTACACTAAATGGGATGACTTTCTCAATAACTGCATTCAAGTAGTTTTCAATCTTCGCAATGGCTCCCAATTTGTCAGCGCTGCAGTTTGACTTCTTTTTCCTTTCCTCATCTCTCCATTGTTACCTGAATACCTCGTACCCTACTTCCGTTTCTTGTGGACAGACAGCCTTGCATTCAAGACAAAACTGAACTATCTCCTTTGGAGTGAATTGGCAGAACATTCATTTACAACAGAGTATATTCCTCCCTTTTTTGAACCAAATGATTGTACTGTTAACCAAACAGCAATAACAACAAATAAAACAGATAACAAAAACAAAAAAACAATAAAAACAGAAACTATAATATTCATAACAGTATGTTAGAGCAAAGCAGTGAAATTATTTGATGTGTAAGAGCGAGATACACTCTGATACCTTAAGTTGTGTTTTATGGCGCTACTCGCCCGACCATCCTTGTGTCAGAGTTATTTGGCGCGTACTATAACTTGATAGTACAGTTTCTAATTTTCGATATGTTGTGATACAAGGTACATTTAAACAATTTTGAAGTGATAACTTCTTACGGAAGGGTAAACCGCTTCGTTACGTAACGCGTTACGGCACCAGTCTGTCTGGCTCCCCTTTCTCTCACGCATACGGCAGCGGTAGGCATGCTCCTCCTTTCTCACACTAACCCACAGCGCTAGTCGTATTTCGGAGAGACGCTTTACATTAAATTTAAGTAATAACCTAAGCTTTTCTCAAGTTAAACTTTCAATATTAAATAGTTCAACTTAGATTAGTTTAAGTTATCACTTCTGTCGGGCGTCCCGAGACGAACACGTTTTTTGATTAATAATTTACAGGAAAACAACGTCCTGCTGTAAATAATTGCAAATGAAGAAAAAAAAAAGCTGGTTTGCACATGTGAACAGAATCAATAAGTTCTGTGGAACTGAAGTTTTGTGTAAAATATTTATGAGAAAGGCAAGCTTTGCCAATCTTGATGGTTGATGGTGTTATAAGCTCAATGGAAGACCAAAAGCGAGTTATGTCCTTTGTTAACAGATAGTGATAGTGCTCTGGCCATAGGCCTATGTAACTCAGTGGTTTTACTTAATTTAATCTAAAAATGAAACTTCTTTTTCTCTAAATTTATGATTGCTCCGCTAGAGCTTGTACAGTAAGTTGTGAAATACGGAAATTGATATTATCTCGCTCCATACTATGGATTTAATACGATCCGTGCGAGTGCTATTTGTATTAGTAGGATCTACATTGCACCCGTGCGAAGCCGGGCGAATCGCTAGTTCATTTATCATTATGATTATTATTGCAGCAGGCAACCAGGCATCGGCGTGTAACGCTAACTGTAACAAGACCAGCGGTAATAATCGTGGCGCAGTCGGGCCGACGCGGAGCAAGCCCATAGACATACAGGGTCAGCGAAACAATAAAAATAACAATCATGCAGGTCAATACTATTTTCATATTCACCTCTTTGTAAGAGAATATTTCTACAAGTGTCGACAATTTGTTATCCTTAGTTAGTCTACTCTATTGTGTAAAGTATAGTCTATACATTAGTGCTCAGACAAATAGCGGTTTCAGCATATTAAGCTTGAAGCTCGTGTTGAAGAAACTTTGTCTTAAAACAAGTACAGTTACTATGTGCCAAACATTTTGTTTGAAATATTGAACCGTTTTTCTGACTTTTAGACTGTAATCAAAGGCAAACGGATAAAGTGGATCTTCGTGACGCATGAAGAATTGTTTCAAACCAAACGTGTGTCACAATGTATAATGTATATATATGTATATTGTTACATTTTTTTTATAATAGATGTTATCATCATTAGGGAATCGAACCATAGGAATCGCTGTAATTGCTAAATGCCGTTATCGTGACTTTATACGACGTACAGGAGATATTACGATTTGAGAAAACACTATTAGAATGTCAAAATTAAACGTGTTTTGTCAGAAACACCACTGGGGTCTCGTTTAAAATATTTTGTTGGTAACCACACCAGTGCCGATGTATACGTGTAAGACGTTTAATGAGATGTATATGTGTAATAAAACAATTACTTGAATATTGTAATCACAACAAGGCTTACCCTTTGAAAAGTGTATACTTGAAGTTGCAGATGTACTATAATCGTTGAAAAAGAGAAAATAAATGGTCGGGATTAGACAACATGCCAGACTGACAATTTGGCAATACCCTTAGCATTAATATTTAACAAATCCTTCAGAACAGGGGTATTTCCTAAAAAATGCAAATGTGCTCGTGTCACTCCGATACATAAAAAAGACGATGCATCTGTCGTCTCGAAGTGTATAGATAATCTTCCTGCTATGGGCAAAGTATTATTATTAAGTAAGTAGTATTAAGTATTCGTAGCGAAGCGACAAATGTATTTGTCGCTTCGCTTCTCTTTAAAAAAAGCTTCGCTTTCGATTTTAGGCAGCTACGGCGCGTCGAGCTCTACGCCCAAGGGGCGCGGGGCGGGCGGCGGAGGCGGGGGCGGGGGCGGGGGAGGGAGCGGCGGGCCCGGCGACAAGGCGCGCCGCCGCAACGAGGCGTGCTTCGGCGACGCCGCCGACCCCGCCCTGCACGACGACTTCGATTTCGAGGGCAACCTCGCGCTCTTCAACAAGCGCGCGCTCTGGGAGCAGATCCGCAACTCGCACAAACCGGACGTGGTGCGGCACGCGGACGACGTGGGCAAGTTCCGGCACGACGAGAACGTGCTCGGCGCCGCGCCGGCCCCGCGCCGCACCATCCGCCTGCCGGACGAGCTGCGCGGCCCCGTCGACTACGTCACGGACGAGGGCCTCGGCGTGCCCTCGGCCGCGCTGCGCCTGCGCGCCCGCCTGTGGGCCGCGCTGCGCACGCGCGGCCTGCTGCCCGGCTCGCTCACGCTGCTGGCGCGCGCCGCCGCCGACGTGGCGCTGCGCCTGGTGGGCGGCGGCCGGCGCCTGGACCCGCGCAACGCGCACCAGACCCCCACCGTGGTGGCGCTGGTGGGGCCGCACGCGGCGGGCGCGGCGGGGCTGGCGGCGGCGCGCGTGCTGGCGTCCCACGGCGCGTACGCCGCCGCTCTGCTGGCCGCGCCCGCGCCCTCCGCGCCCGACGCGGCGCTGGCGCGCGAGCTGAGCGCGCTGGCGTGCGCCGGCGTGGAGCTGGCGGCGGCGCCCGACGCGCTGCCGCGGCCCGACGTGCTGCTGCTGGCGCTGCACGACCCCGAGCTGGGCGACGGCCAGGCGCGCTACTCCGACGCGCTGCGCTGGGCGGGCGGCGCGCGCGCGGCCGTGGTGGCGCTGGAGCCGCCGGCGGAGGGCTGGGAGGGCGTGAGCGCGCGCGCCGCCGTGGTGGGCTTGGTGCCGCCGGCGCTGGCGCCGTCGCTGGGCCGCGTGTACCTGGCCAACGTGGCGCCGCCCGAGCGCCTGTTCGCGGAGCACGGCGTGGCCTACCGCCCGCCCTTCGGCGCCTCGCCCGTGCTGGCGCTGCACCCCGCCGACGACTGACCGCGCGCTCTCCGGGAGGGAGCGGCCCTAGTTAGAGACGTCGAACCCTCGTAGCCGAGTACAATGCTATATGTAATATTGAAAATATGACCGAGCGTCTCTCGATCCCGACCGCAGAGACCGACTCGTACCGTACTTGACGATGATATTCTTCGATTCTGTCAGTCGAACAGTTCTTCCAAAACGGCCTAACCTTCTTGTTCTTTCTTAACCTTCTATAGTTATTTTTATCGGAAAAAACTATAGAATTGGTAAATCACCGAATTCAAAATAATCCCACAAAGAAATTTTACTACATTATACGTAAAATTAGTATAAATTTCACGGAAATAGAACGTTCAATCTGTTTATTAGAAAATTGTGCAAAGTATTCTATTTTTGTAATTTTCATAAAATATATTCCATGTTGTAACCTGAACAATAAGAAGTCTATGGATCGATGTGTTATAATGTTAAATGTAACCAAAATAATTAATTGTAATTACCACGTGGCCCCCGTGTCCAGTGGCTCGCAGGGCGGGGGGGCCGAGACATGACATTGAGTTCCTAACTGCGCAGGCGGCGGATTCTGTGCAAAAGTGTTCAACGATTCCCTTTGTATGTAAAAGTACATGTTAGACATGGTCGTGTGAGGGAAGCACATAATTAACTTTAGCCTAGCACTATAGTATAGTATAAAACATTTGTGAGAATGTACTTTTTATCAGTGAATGACTTGGAAGAATCTTCTGCATCTTGGTAATAGGTACTGTATTTGTGAAATATATGTATTTGGTGTAAGAAACTTTGTCTACTTGGACCGACACTTGGTATACTTAACTTGGTTGACTATATCGTTATGTACGAGGTTACGGTTCACGTACAGACCGGCGCGCGGACGACAGAGAGCTCTCACTCGCTACACTCCACTCGTACGGTTCCCGCTTCCAACTTCTCGTAGCTTAAACATTCTCTAAACAAGGAATTTTCGCTAAAACTAGTAGAAGTTTAGATTAGGGCACATTCTAAGTAACAATAAATATTGAGTGGGTTGTACCGCGAGAGCTCTCTCTCGTCGCGTGCCCACAAGACAACACATTTTATAATAAAGTGATTTAATTTTATAAATTGCATTTAAATAAATTTTAATAAAATTGTTAGGAGTGAATTGACTTTTATTTCTGTACACATTTTAATTAGCTTCAAACAGTTTACAGTTCTCTCTGATTACTAATAAACCGCACTCGAATATACCATTAACTGATTCACGACTGATAAATCAGGGACTCTAATCACCAAACGACAAATGAAATTATATTATGTAGGCGTGTTACAAAGACCATAACATACCTTTACGGTCGTTACATTAAGATTAGTTGTTTATGATAGTCGATGTCACGTTCACATCTTCTGTTAACATACGAGTATACACAATGTGTGAGGCCGATATGAGGGAGAGCGAATTGAAACAACACAACAAGAGGTCCATCGATTTATTTTGAAAAAAGTAGTTCTCAAAAAAGCACATCATATTTATTTGGACAACAGAACATGATTATGTTATGGCTTAACACAACAATCGCGTCTAACTATGACGGTACATTATATACAAAGTGGCGGTTCGTCTGTGCGGCCGAGCGTTCCCTGCGCCGGACCTAACTACGTTATACGTGACCGAGAAAGATCGCAGCCCTAGGCGGGTGCTGTCCCGGGCCGTGCTCTCGCTCTCCGTAGCTATCGCGCACGGTCCGGGGAACACAAGGCCTCGTAGCCGACAGAATTATAAATGAAAGTTTATAAAATTAATAATAAATAATACGGAAGACTCGCGTTATAGCCGAACCGAAAGCGTCGCATCCATCGCTACATCATGTGGTACGTCATAATATATGACATCGATTAGCTTTGCACTCTGGGAACGGCCCCGCAGTCCCGGACGCGTCCCTCGAGCCGCCGGGACTACACACACCCTAACGCCTGGGAATGATTGATACAAAATACTCGCACAGTATGTACACTACATAAATATAAAACATTTGTTCGTTCAACATTTATAGCACTTATTATACTCGTAACAAACTAAATAATACCGACGCGACGGTTCCTGGGAGACGCGCGCGGGCGCAGCGCGACGGAACCGACCGGCGCTACGTCCGTCCGACTGTGGCTAATGACCAATTCTATATTTTACTAAAACATTTATCGTCAAATTCGACAGAAACAGTTGCATCGCCACGGCCGTACGCTCGCGAGCGAGCTCCAGCGACACGACTCTTACCATTTATGTGGATCGCGGATCATTATTTTTCAACCTGCGTGTTCCTTTATTAATAATACAAGAAACTAAGGTTTCTTAAAAAATAAAATAAACTAAATGAAATACATACGAACACGTAAATATATTATTTCCTCTCAACCTTCTAAGAGAATGACAAGTTATTGCCATAATAATACAGTTTTTTCCACCATGTAAAGTGTTACCATGTACAAGGGTAAATGTTGGTGGTGATTGCCGCGGCACAGAGACAAGACGGTCCTTTCCGAGTATAAATAAAGTGATACAACCGTTTAGAGAGGTATGTGACGCGTGTGATATAACTGGGCGATACAACTGTTCACGCGTCCTTCTTCAATAATTCATCATTTAAAGAGTTTTTTAGTAAACACGTTTAAAAATATGTTGGATATAAAATATTGTGTACACTTTGTGTGCAACAGTCTTTGGTTGTAGAGATGGCGGCAGCCCTCGATAACATCTCATTACAATATGATGTCTAAGTGTCGGGGAGCCCCGCCCCGGCCCCTAGAGCTCGGGGGTGAGCGCCCTACAGGGTACAAATAATACAGACTAGGTAAACAGTGTAAAAAATACTTAAAAAATCCCTTATAAAAATTATTCTCAGAAGTGAGTAACTACAAAATAGAAGCTCCTGTAACACCGACTAACAACAAGAGAGGCCCCGCGCCGCCCCCCAAGCCTTCCTCACCGTACACAACAGACGTCCTCAAGTGTCAAGATACCGCAACTTTGATTAAATAAATATCTTCCAGAGAAAGTTAGTGCTAAGTGTAGCGGTCTATTTATATAGTTAAGTTTTGACGAGCTTTAGTACTTTGATACTTTTATCGATACGAGCATTGATATGTTTAATGCCCCTTCGCAGAGGGGCGGGAATAAAGCCCTCGCTAAGAGCATAGGTTTAAGATGATATTGGATTTTTTTGTGGGTGATCGATGTTGACCTATTAGTAGACTACTATAATTATGAGTATTAGTATCTTAGAGTTCGTAGAACAGAAAAGAGTTTCTGTTATAATTTAATCAAGAAACGAAGCGAATAATCGGTATATCGGTAATCGGTAATAACTTGTTTTTAGGCCCGGCCGTCTTACATGAGTTTTGTCAAAATACCTATGCAGTGGGTATAATTGATGGGTGCCAAACCTATTTTTTTTTAAATGCCTATCGGACTCAAATACGTTTTATTCCAGTAAAACGTTGTATGAGCCGGCGTTAACTTACACATTAAATTTGAAGGGTTACTAAGGCCATCTAGCATAAATATTGTAAAACAGCATGCCACAACGTTTTAAGTGCAAAATAAGCTGCAAATATCAGTTCTATCAAAATATCAGACGAGGAAGGTGCGTCAACGTCGTTATATCGACATAAAAATGAATGGAAAAAATCGATAAGAAAGTTTTGTAGAAACAAGGGTTTAAAGTACGTAAATACGAAATTTCAAGAAATAACTGAAATAAACGAGACAAGTGAGGTATAGGTAACAATTTTTTTAACCCATTTTGTTAAAAAACGTAAACATAGTTTTACCTAATTTATTACCATAATTTATATAATTTTACCATTGCTATACGTGTATATTTACATTACAAAACCATAAACAATATTTTGTACAAATTATAAATTTAATAATTTACTTTGTTATAGGTTTCTTGCAAATGCCAGTTTGCCTGTAGCTGTTTCACATTGGAATGTCATAAAAAAATATTTTATGAATTCTGGAATCTAGGAGATTATAACGAACAGCAGATTTACCTAAAAATCTTGTACGACTTTGTTTATTAAACAGAAGGAGACATGGAAATTATGACAATGCAACCAAAAGCGGGACAATTCGTGCGACAACGGACATTCAAATACTATCTTATAATTAGAGGCATTTCGGAAGTTCAGGTAAGCCTTACTGTTCATTATTTGTACTGTATTGTTAGTTAGTGTAATGATGTTTGTTTTACATACACAGATGTTTTACAGTCGGCAGCTTGCGTTCGTCAATATGGGAATTCATTTGGAGGATGAAGGAGAGGGCATCATGTTTCTCTGGAATGAAACTTTTGGTTAAAGGGTTCCAACGAGACGTTTTTACAAGTTTTTTACTTATAGTGAAATAGGACACACTACAGATAAAAAGAATTTAATTTTGTGGTCAGATAACTGTCGTGGACAAAATAAGAACCAAGCTGTACTTGCTATGTACAAAAGGTTTCTTTTCGGAATTACTCATAAATTTCCTGTGAAGGGTCATACATTTCTTCCTTACGATCGAGATTTTGCGATCATTGAAATAGCGAAAAAGTGTGCAAAGCCACTGATGCCAAAAGATCTTATTGAGCTTGTTGCAAATGCTGGCAAAACCAAACATTCTCGGCAATGGATAATAAAACCTTTTTTAATTGGATGAATCTGGGTGAAAATATGATTAATACCAAAGAAAACTGCAGATATCTTTGGCACCGATGATTCGCCTGTCATTGAAGATTTTGGTGTAATTCATACAAAGAAAAGTTACGGCGAATTTGCTTCATGAATATCAACTCCAGTGCTCAAACCTGGTATTACTAAGGCAAATTTTGAGAGCCTACAAGTTGACGCGGTCGAGACACCTGTACCCTTATCTGCTGAGAATAAGAAAGACATTAATGCCATGTTGCCGTATTTAGCCGGCAAAAGCAAATTGTTTAATGAAAATCTTTTAAAATAAAGAAATTGAAAGTGTTAAGTTATTTACAAGTAATATGACTTACAACGTTATGGCTTGCATAAATAAAGGCACTTAAAACGTTTTATGCTTTTCATTTTTTTATAACAAAAAAAATAATTGCGTATTTTGACAGAGCGAAAAATTTGTGTTAAATTGTTTATAATAAATGATAGTTTGATAATATATTTTTTAATAATTACTTTGTTGTCTCCTGAAAATTTCATTTCCTGGGACTCATAACGTTATGATTTGGCATCCCTTAATTAAAATACGGTGACTGAATAAGAATCCGGAGTGTCATCACCCCTATTTATCCCATGGAATTCGTAAGAGCCGAATAAGTGAGCAAGCTATGCAGGACATTAGAACTGCAAAGAGAAAGAAAACTTTACACAAACCCTATACCAACCCGTCTGGCCAGCGTGGTATAGTAGGCCGAAACCTCCTTTCTAAGCAGAGGCCTATATCCAGCGGAGGATTACTCAAGGCTGTCGATCGATTGAAAGAAAATATTTTTATCTTATGACTGGAGTGTTTATGAGTCGGTCAATAGTGTCGAGTGAAAGAGAATCGAGAAGTATTATAGATATTCGTTTATATTTGAGTATAAAAATAAAAACGTTGCCAAAGGAGCGGAGGGGCCATGACGACCGCCGGGGAGGTCGGGAGGAGGGAGGCGCGGGTCCTACGCACTCAATCTCACGTACACGACACACACACAGTCACGACACCTACACTGTACACTACATCGTATTAAACCTTACCGATAAACATTCCCACGTGATAAACTTACATTAAACTAGAACAAGACGAGACGGGGGAGGTGGGCGCCTACGATTCGTGTTCGTGTTGACGGTCGCGCGGCTTGCCGTTGGCGTACGCGGCCTTGTCGGCGTGCGTGGCCTTTTCTGCGTGTGCGGCCTTGTCGGCGTGCGTGGCCTTGTCGGCGTGCGTGGCCTTGTCGGCGTGCGTGGCCTTGTCGGCGTGCGTGGCCTTGTCGGCGTGCGCGGCCTTGTCTCCCGGCGCGGGCGCGGCGGGCGGTAGTACGTCGCGCGCGACGGCGGGCGCGGCGCGGCGGATGAGCGCGTGCGTGCGCTCGCGCAGGCGCAGCAGCTCGTCCTGGATGCGCTGCGTGATGGCCGCGCGCGTCTCCTCCTCGCTCGCGTTCGAGCTGCGCAACCTGTAACGTCACAGGACCCGCCTGTACTGTACCGACCGCTCCGGGCCTACCGTTCTCGATGCGTTCCAAGGAAATTAGTTTTGTGCAAATACACAACTTTTCCAAAGTAACTCTAAAAACGGCAGCTCGAAAACTCTACTTAGCTCGACCGATACTGACCTTTCGAGTAGGTGGTGTATTTGTATGGGCTCGCCGACGTTGAGGAAGACGTGCTTCCGGAACTTGAGCAGGTAGGGTTCCTGGTTGGGCAGCACCCGGTCCATGCCTTCGTGCCACACCGGCACGATGAGCGGCGGGGCGGCGCAGTCCGCCACGAGCCGCCCCACGCCCCACTTGAAGCGGATGTGTTCCTGCATGCAAAGGTCATCGCGTCACCGCCACTCAAACAGATACGTTAGCCCCAGGTTCTTTCTTAATTGACTGAATCATCACATCACTCAAATGAACCGTGTGAACTTGGGTTTTGATTCAATTTTATTTTAGATGTGTGACATCTTACTTCTAGATCAACTTGTGTGAGTAAGCTCGTGAAACTATTTGACTTGACGAATGTGCGCGCGTTTTATGATAAATAGAAGAAGGGACCGGAAAGAACTGTGTCTGCCTATATCGACGAGAATATAGGAATAAGACGAGAGATACGAGATACGAAAGAATATACCATCGAATTGATGAGATGTGAGTGAGAAGAATGTGGTCCTTAAAAATATAATAGGTCACCTTATTGACGTTGACCCGCCCCTCGGGGAAGATATGCACCCAGTCGCCCCGCGAGAGGCGATCGACGCAGAAGTCGATGGCGGGCTGGTACACGCCGGCGCCGCGCACCACGGGCACGCACTTGCCCAGCGCGAAGAAGCACGAGTGCAGCGCGTTCGTGAAGCAGATGTCGTGCGCCGCCAGCGACCAGCGCATGCGCGAGTTGCGCAGCAACACCCCGCAGTCCAGCACGCCTGCAACACGCACGCTGCACTTAGTCGCGTCCGCAGTATAAGCTACAAAATTAATGTTGCTTCTGGCCGAATAAAAACCAGAATTTGTGAATGTTGAATTTTCTTTACATCTTGGTTAAGAGGATTATGAGAGCAATCGTTCCGGTCATGGGCGAATCGCTAGTCATTATGCACTCGGTTCTAGCAAATGGAACATAGATAAGATTAGTGTTCCTAGCAGAGGGTTCACCACCATGCTGCAGCTTAGCAACGTGGTACATCTCTGTTCGAAGGCTGTCTACGGGATGTGACATAGCATAGCGACATTTCTATAGAAGTGGCAGTCGTTAAGTTTACTTATAGCCGGTGCACACATTCGTGACACATCCACTGAGTACACCGACAGTGATATAACATTGCCTCTATTGAAATATGGTATCATTGTTCGCTCCGACAACTACACGTACATATAAGGTTAATTAGAACGTTAGCGCGCCGTTCCGCTACATCGCGATCTCGTTTACAAGCTCATTATCAAATCGATTACTAACTCGAGCCTTGAATATTACATTCCTCCTTTGATTCAATAGTATCGGTATGCAACAGTGGCAGTTTTAATTTAATTTGAAAACAATCGCTAAACGAATCCAATCATAACAATCATAAACAGAACGTAATAGTACTGGTAAACGTTCCATCGACGATCTACAATTATTCCTTTCTGCTTAAATGTATGCGCCGATCATTCTTCATAACTTACTGCGTCTTACAGTAACTAAATTTAAAGGTTTAAGTCTGGCCTGTTGGGCTAGTGGTTAGTAGTGTATTAATTATATAAGCTACAAGCGTTGCTGGTCAGACGGATTGGTATAGGGTTTGTTTCAAGTTTTCTTTCTCTTTTTGCAGTACTGTTATCCTGCGTAGTTTGGCCCACTTTAGTCGGCTCTTACGACACCCACGGGATGAATAGGGGTGGTGACACTTAATATTCTTAATCCGTCACTACACGGACACATATCTTCCAACCTATCTATAATATGTATATATATATTTAGAAATACATAAATATATTTATCTGCAGTCTGGTTATTATAGTATAGGCTCTTTCTAGTTCTAGATCGGACGGTCATAGATAACGCCAAGACCACGAATACTATAACACCTTGTAAGTTTCTGACCCTTTAGGTAGTACTCGGACGAGACAGTGTTCTTTTTTCTGGTGATTGTAACGACGAAGCACTTCAATGGGTTCAAGTCCAATTTGTTTCTTTCGCAATAGTTATCCAAATGAAAAAAACTGATTGGCTCGTACATCTGCCTGACAAGACACCGGAGAGTATTTTTTAATATCGTCAGCAAAACAAAGAAGCTTTGATGAATTAAAGCACTCACTGATGTCGTTCACTAAAACAACGAAGAGCAACGGACCCAGTAGTGAACCTTGTGGTACGCCACTGGGCACGCTAGCCCCAAAATCTTCATCTTTATCCACGTATGCCTGTTGCCACTAGTTTCTGTATTAAGATGGAATGATCAATTCATTTTTATATAGATCTCGCATAGCTACACGAAAGCGATTCATTTGGGATTTATCTATAGCCCAGTCATATTAGGTAAAAAAAGGGGTCAACCTCGGAATGAAAGATAATAAGCTGCAAATTGGTATTAACCTTTGTTTTGTCATTCTAAATGTTGTCTCAAAAGTCACAATCGTTATCGTGTCCGCGTCTCAAGATATTCAAGGTCAAAGGTCACAAAAATCGGTTTTTCGCGAATATCTGGCTTCCTATCGGTTAAATGAGATTTGCATTTATTATAAAAGTTGTAGGCTATAAAATTCCCTACAACTTTTGTTTAAACTTTTGGCCTAATGCAAGGTCAAGCGTGAGTTATGGTTATCAGTACGTTATAAAGTCAATTATTTACTTGGAAATTATAATTATTAAACAATGCCTATTATTTATGTACTAACTATTAATTATTTATATTTAATTAAAGTAAGTAACTTGATTATTTATATATAATTATTCATATTTAACTATTTAAGTATAAAATATTATTAATTCTGGATTATATATTTTAGTTTTATTTTAAGTTAAAATGATAGTAAGAGTATATATTTTACACATATTTTTATTTATTATTAAATACGGCATAATATACATTTATCAAAATGTGAGTTCAAATATCAAAAGTATCTTTGTTGATTTTAATTGTAATGAAATTGGAAATGGAAGCTAATTATCTTCTTCTTGTTCGTCGTCTTCTTCTTCTTGTCGCTCAAAAATGTTCGATTCATTGTCATCATCCTCATTATCTGTCATGTTCATCTCCAAACCTTCCAGAATATCGGGATCATATGTATTTTCTTCATCGGGATTACTTGGATACAGTGAAGCGTTGAGGCAAGCTTGTCCGTTGCACTGGCCGCAAGCTAAAGAACATTGTAGCCCTGATTTTCTGCATCCACAGCGGGAACCACAACCATTTTTGCAATTGCAAAATATTACGTTTAGTAGTTCGGCTGGTGCTGGAGGTAATAACGTTCGTATGGGCTCCAGGATTTCATTTTCAAGCATCCAGCCCCATTCTTGAGGTTCTAAGTCCTTCCCTAACCACGTTTGAATCTGGTAGTAGACACGTTTTATGTGTTGATGAGCTGCTACACTTGTTGGTGGAAGTGTTGACAGTTGTACAGGTTTATTTAGTTTTGTAAATTTGATGAATTGCGTGTAGCGGAAATGATCAATGTTGTCCTCAGATTTTGGAGCATTATATAATGCCAACAAGATGCGCACTCCATTTTCTAATAATGTTTGTTTTGGGCAGTTTTCTTGTTGAAATACTTCCACCAGTTTATCTAAATCAGGAATTTTTTCCAATGCTCTAGTAACAGTTTTTTTTCCTTTTTTAAATAGCGCAGAAGTCGTGTCACAGCCACTGAATGCGTGTAAAAATAAAATGTGCTTTTTAGTACGAGGATATTGGTCAAAACTTTTAGTAGAATATATTTGTGTTTTGACATTGCCTTTGCCAACTTTTTTCAAAAAAAAATCCTGATGATGTGACTGAGTACGTCCAATTAAAATAACGAGCAAATCGATATCTTCTTCTATGATGACAGCAGTCTTTTGATGTTCTGATAAGGCAATAGCTGTGTCAATGATGAGAACATCAGCATCATCTCTGGCTTGTTTTGTTAAATAATCAAGTTACTTACTTTAATTAAATATAAATAATTAATAGTTAGTACATAAATAATAGGCATTGTTTAATAATTATAATTTCCAAGTAAATAATTGACTTTATAACGTACTGATAACCATAACTCACGCTTGACCTTGCATTAGGCCGTATATGACTGTACGATGTGCACTCTTCGCGCTCTACCTTCAAAACGGTTGGTCGTATGAAAAAAAAGTTTAAACAAAAGTTGTAGGGAATTTTATAGCCTACAACTTTTATAATAAATGCAAATCTCATTTAACCGATAGGAAGCCAGATATTCGCGAAAAACCGATTTTTGTGACCTTTGACCTTGAATATCTTGAGACGCGGACACGATAACGATTGTGACTTTTGAGACAACATTTAGAATGACAAAACAAAGGTTCATACCAATTTGCAGCTTATTATCTTTCATTCCGAGGTGAAAGCCCTAATATGACTGGGCTACTACTGTACCAGCAAAATTGAAGAATTAATACCAGTGTAAAGAAGAACACGGACCATTAATTAGTGGAATATACTGTGGGAGAGCCATGCTTCGGTGATACCAAGAATGATAATACGGCCCCAGAAATAAAACCGCTGTCAAGCAGTTCTGTCGTTTCTTTTCACTGAGCGTGGTTACTGAAGCTTAAACCCTTCCCCTCCCTCGGATTCCGGGAGGAGAGATGGATGTCCATGGGTGGCGGTAGTCACTTACGATCGCGTGATCCGTTTGCTCGTTTGCCCCCTATGCCATATAAAAATTTGAATATACGACAGATACTCATAGATAGATACACTCATATTTCATATATTTAAATAACCAAACCTCAAATATTTATTTTAACTTTTCCAACCCTCTAAACTGATAGTATTTTTATATATACACGCTGGGGTTTAAGCACAGTTTTTAGCTCTCCTGTGAAGTATTAAAAGTATTGGTACGTTCATTCGGCTGTTGTATGACGAAAATAGACTCGAGAACGAGGACAACTCGCGACGCTAGTCTTTTTTAAATGATCTATATTATATCAATGCACGTCAAAACTTTCACAAATTAAAGGAGGTTTAATACTAGTTAATAGTTAGTGTCATTAATAGGACAATTAATTATTCTGTAGTGTCATCGACCCATCACTCGCTGTAACACAGCCATACATCGATAACCTTAAACCTTTGTACTGCCGTACTAGATCACGTGGTTATGACACTATTGATTTATTTAAAACTTGACGTATCAACGGTTTTTGTATAATATAGAGGACAAACGATCAGACAGAAAGTGATGGACCTGATGGAAAGTGCCTATCGCCGTCCGTGAACGCCTACCATTAAGGTGTCATAAGCGCGTTGCCGGCCATTGAGGCAAGATTACGCTCTTTTCTTGAAGGTCGTATCGGTTCGTAGTACCGCAGGCGACAATTTTTTTCCAAAGATTGGTTGTGCGAAGTAAAATGTTTCTTCCAAGAGCTAGCTTCCGCATAAACACAAGGCACTTAATGAAAGAGTGTACATCGCTTATTGACAACATTTGCACATTCATGGTACATCGGCCGCTGCATAGTTTTACGTGCGTTTATTGTCAGAAGGCTCAATAAATACTCTATCCTATACAAAAAAAAAACATTTAAATCTGATTGCCAGAGAATTTGCGTTTAAGGAAACAACTTTTCATCCTTATTATACTAATATAGATTTACTTTAGCCTCCGTACAGTGGCATACATGTTGCTTCAAGGTATTATACTTTCTTTGTTTACTTGCGTAGTCAATGTGACGTTTGCGATCGTCGACACTTGTATAATTATATTTATTATTATATTATTATATTATGATAACGATCACTATTGGACGTTGTTATCTAAATACAATGCCGGATTTAGAGGTCTGGAGGCCTCGGGGCAACAAAGGAGTGGAGGCTGGCTCCGAAGTAAATCACTTTCAATGCTCAGGAGAAAAAGCTTTGATGGACGGTTTTGTCTCATCGTGGTTCCATCGAAGCCTATTTTTTATAATTTTTATTTTTGCAAATGAGCGCTCTGCTGTGCAATTTGATACCGTCAAAACCAAATACATTCTCAATGCAATTTCAAGGTTCAATTGAATCAGGCGTTACGCGGAAATCAATTTTAAGCTACATATATATAATTTACGTACAATTACAATTACAGTATAATTTACATTCATATTTATAACGTAACTTACATATATATAATTGAAAGAACAAAAATAAAGAGTCGAGACACGGAATCGAATACCCAACCTCTGAGGCTGCGGGCGAGTACCACCTCGCCGAGCCATTGGGATGCTCCCTCAATATGGGGAGTAAATTGCAAGTGCTTATCAGGGCCATTTGATATGTTGATATCTTAATGATTGCCCGATTGGAGTGAACAAATATATATCGACGATTTCTGTTAATATTTATTATAATCATGTTTGTACAAAGTACTTTAGGCAAAGGAAAACGCGAAAACAAATATCAAAGGAAAAGTTGTTTACTAGTCTGAATTTGTAATTTTTTCCGAAGTCTCTATTGTGGGGGACCCCGGGGCTATAGCCCCGGTTGCCCTACCCTAAATCCGGCCCTGTCTGAATATCAATTGGTTTTAATAATAATATTGGAATTTCCATACGCAATTGTCACTTTTAACATCACATATGTCGTCATCACGTCTGTAATGGACATGTTCGTATTGTCTCACTCGGACATTAGTATTGGTATCGGCTAATGGCTCCATTTCATCATATAAATTTATTATACGTTCAGATATCGCAGGCTAGTCGAGCAAGGTCAGTCCCTTCCAGAAGCACAGAGGGCTTCTAGGGCGTTCACAAGCATCTAGAAGCGACTTCGCATGCTTCAGGAAGACGGGTCGGGGTTCCAAAAGGTCCCTGGTCTAGATGGAGTACAATCTGTTGCTTTTATGATGATTAGGTGTCGATACAGGGCCGAGGGGCCTGTAATTGTGGTTGGATATTCACTCGGATATTGTTTTATAATAGCATTTGTAGTAACTGGCATTTAATTTAATTCTGTTAACAAAAGTCATTGCAAAATGTATTAAAAAAAAAGTAAGTATGTGCGATTTCAATTATATTTTCAAAGTAACATTTGTGCTTCCGACAAAGGTTTCCTGTTATTCAGCCTTAGCTTCGGTCAAGCTGAAACATGTCAAACTGTCTTCATTTATACCATATTCATTTTCGTACCTCGTATGGCCATCTTCAGAGGGTTCGTTCTAAATGTTGCTCGACATCAAGAAGGTCCAATCAATAACGCATGGCCGATGCCATAGGGCTCACTAGTTGAAAGTACATCGACATAATCTTTAAGAGGCAGTATCGTTGTGTAGAAAGGACAGCTGTACTATATGAACCTGTTAAATCGTAGTGGTTTAAGTGGTCACCTCGCCGCTTCCTACTGCGCTGAGTGTTGTGGGTTCGATCCCTACATGGGATAACACTTTGTGTGATCCACAAATTGTTGTTCTGAGTCTGGTTGTTCTTTGTGCCCGTATCATGTATGTTTGTAAAGTCCTCCGCGACACAGGATATATTCCTAGGGCGGGAGTTGTCTTTTAAAAATAAAGATGCCTTCCGGTATCCATTTTGAAAAGATAATGTTGGCAGGATTGATAGTGAATTTAAGTTCCAATATGTTTCACCACTTGAAATTATTAAAGTGTTAAACACTATTTATGTTAAAAAAAAGAACTGACTTATGGGGGACCTAAATTCTGTATTAATTACAAAGAAAATTATATCTCTTGTGGCTAATCAATTATCATTTACATTGTTATATAATTATATTATATATTAATAAGAGTTCGCGAACAATTTTACATATTTTCGACATAAACAAGTCACTGTGCTTATTAATTGCATATTTGGTGTTAGATAATGACATGAAATGGTAACACGAAGTTGATCATAATTGTTATTTAACACCAAATGTGACGTTGTTGGCATACATTTACTTTTTAATTTCGTCAAATAGTAGGCATATATCGTCTATCTATCGGTGAATTTATATGAGTGAGTGTGTGGTGTTTACCCCAGAGGCCGGGGTCATCGAAGCACGAGTGGTGGTTGGAGACAGTGAGCAGTGGCACACCGTGCGGTCGCCGCGCCGCGCGGTCCAGCGTCTCGCGGTTGTACACCGTCGTCTTGTTCAGGAACTCTGAAACAATGTACCACACACGTTGCATGAAATGCTGATTGAGTAACATGCATATGATAACAGCTGCGTTGTGAACCGTTGTTTTCCTACGGAAATGGCCAGAAATTGGTTAATTGCAACTACGGATTGGAAAGCAGTGCGTGACACGACTTTGAACTATTTCAAAGTGCCTAGGAACCGTGCGGGTGACGAAAGCGGCGCTTGACCGATAACTCTATTAGTGACTTTGACTGACGCTATGTGTTCATAGTAGACATTGGATTAACAAATTTTCTCTGTGATTATCCAAAAGGGCAAAAGCTATATATATATATATATATATATATACTGTATTCGCTCACCGACAGCTGTTTACTTATACCCTTATGTAGTATAAGTATTATTAAGTACTATCTATCAACGAACAATGAGCTAGCGCCACGCCGGCCCCGCTTACCTTTAGTCGCACCTTTTCAATGCTATTAATGCTGTCTACACGACTGTACACGACACTTTTCAAGGGCGGTCGGAGGCGATGACCGACGAACGAAGACAGCGATCAGTGTTATGCGTGATTCAGCAACAAATACACCACATATCATGCGAGAAAGTGATGAGGGTCTGTCACGAAATGCTGGATATCATAACGCGAGTACTGAGTGCGTATTAAAGACATGAAACCAACACACGCGGTTGTCCAGCGGCAGTAATGTAGGAGCGCACTAGACGCTGGACTTGGAGTAAAGTCCACTCCAAACTAGCTTATGAACAAACAGCTAAGCTAATAAGTTTAGCTGTTAAGGATAACCTATAGGTATACCTTTACAGTAATGTTTGCTATATTTTTGAACCGTAATTTAAATGATATAGGTACAATGTGTACCGCACAATGACATATTTACATTGCTTACTTGCTGACCTTTTTGCTAAAGTGATACAAAATACTTAAATGTTTTAAAGTAACTGTTTGCATTTTAATATAAAACGTTTATTTTGTGTCCCTTTAATGTTTTTAGTGGAGGCCTACGTACACAGAAGGCATTTGCTCATGAAATATATTTTTTTTACACATTTCTAAGAAGGTACCTGGATACTTGTATCTATATACACACATACAGTACAACTTACATACAGTAAAACTTTACTACTTAAAAAATAATTGAAAATGTGTTTGTTTGATTACTTGTCTTTTCACGCAACGACAGGACGTGATCTGGAAAAAAATACTCTGTGAACTCAAGAAATGTGCAGTTCCAGTAGTCAAAACGAAGGACACGGTAAAAGTCGAAATTTGTGGCTGTGTTAGTTACTGTGTAAATTTTGTTTTGTGGGGCCATCGGAGTGGGAGTTCTCTCGCTCGATAGCCTGATTGCGGCTATCGTGCGGAGCGAGAGTGCGTGGAACTCTGCCGTCTCCTGCGAGCAAGTTATGCTCGCGAAGGAGACGGCGGAGCGGGACCGGGAGAGGTTTAGAACTCTCCCGGCCCGCCAGGCCCGGGCACGGGCCAGGCACCGCAGGCGACTCAGGCGCCGGTGGTCGCAGAACGACCTCCGTCCTCCATAAGCGCAGGCCTGGGGGTGACAGGTGAGGCCATCTGTCACCCTAGCAGAAGCAGGCCGGGGTGGCGGCGAGCGCGTTGCGAAGCTTCCAGGGAGCACAGGGAACATGGGGTTCCCACACTTGTCTACTCGTCTGTAGATGACCCGAGGTATGTCGGGGCACCAGGGACTTCCTTTCTAGGGTATACCTGGTTCCCCGGCTATTAGTACCCGGCGACGGCGTGCGGTTTTAGTCGGTTCGAGTCCGACATGCCACCGACAGGTGGTATCCGAGAGGATTTCCGCACGGAAAAAAAAAAAAAAAAGAAAAAAGAAAGGGTCAATTAACTTATGTATACTCAAAACCAGGGACAAATCGATGAGCGACGGGCTATTAATTGCAACCAAGTCTGGTCTCTCAAATTGTTACACCGGAATTTAGTTGATATTTTACAGAAACCCAATATAATGCACAACAACACAACAACAATAAAATGCACAACAAAAAATAAAAAGGTTTGAACAATTAATCTGAGGTCGGTGACAGGACGTCTCTTGATTTTACATAAATTGTGACTGTAGCTGTGAGAATCGCACTAAGTTAATGCCAATGAATAAAACAGCTTGCACAAACTACATGTTTGTATCTATATATTATATTTGTCAAAGAGAGTATAGCCAACTTGAATGCGTCTAAATCATTCCAAATCTTCAATTAATGAAGATATCACCTACAAAATAAATATTCATTTATATGTGTTTACAATATTACATATAACTAATTCATAAATGATATTTATTTCTGTAAGTAAATCTTTTCAGATATTTTACATGTCAGACTTTACAGATAGATTTCCTAAGACCAACTCTGGGAAGAAATGCCGAAACAAACCACAGCGGTGTTTTTTTTTAAAGAAAAAAAACTAAGTTAAAGAACTTAAAACATTGACTAAATTTCGAAAAAGTAGAAATCTGTTGTCTCACTGCTGTAAATCTTGAAGCTTTACGATGGTCTGTCGTGAAGTGTGAGCTCGCGCGGTGTCTTGGCGAACCAATGGGGAAGAGCGATTGACCAGCCGTGGTTGTTGAATTGCGAGCTTCTCCATCATTGTTTGCAATTCTTGGTGATAGACATCCACCGTCACTGTTGTGCCATTCAAGAACCTATGATGTATAAGTCCACCAGACAGTCACCATCATCTTCCTATGGGTCAGTACGGTTGTCGTACAGGATTCACTTATCATCGCAGGTAACAATTTGATTCAGAATTCCCTCGTTTCTATGTCGATTCAGTAGTGCTATGCATGCTTCGACGCGTAAGTCTCGTTGATGGTCTCTCAGTTCGTGTGGCACCCACTTATCTAGCTTTTTTTATCTTTCCAATTTGACGCAAGTGCTTCAATGTTGTTCTGACACTAACTACTAGGCTCGCAGCAAGCTCAGCCGAAGATTGACTTGGATCCGCTTTCACTATCGCCTACATTACGTCGTTGTCGACTATAGTTACCGGCCTATCGCGAGGCTCGTTCTTCAACTCAATTTTTTTATATCTAAAACGATTGCATCGATTATAGACCGTGTTTATGCAAACAGTGTTAGGCCCGTACACGTCGTTAATGTTTCGTGTTGTCAGCGGTATTTCCATTCCATTCCATTCCAAATCATATTCGAAAATTGAACGAATGTTCAGTTTCTTCATGGCGCCAAAAACTACCATCTTTTAACAAAACAAAACACTATCTAAAAAAAATGACTGAATTTTAAAATAACATGGCTTTCGAATAAAAATTATTTGAATTTCGAATTTCGCGCCAATCCACAGATAATAATTAAATCTGAAAATGCTGGTTTTAAATTCTCCAACTTCATAGGTAAGTATTATTATTATTTTTTAGTATTAGTATTATTATTTTTAAAGGACAACTCCCGCACTAGGAATAAATCCTGTGTCGCGGGGGACTTTACAAACATTAAACGGACACAAAGGACACCCAGACTCAGAACAACAATTTGTGAATCACACAAAGTGTTGTCTCATGTGGGGATTGAACCCACAACACCAGGCGCGGTACGAAGCGGCTAGGTGACCGCTTAAACCACTGCGCCATCCGTGCAGTCTGCAATTAGAACTGTGTTTAACTTTGCAGTTGGTACCCGACTTCGTTCTCTTGGAATTTGAAAAGTGCTGCCTTAGTGATGTAGCATCGAAGGGCGTCTGAAGTGGCCTTAAGGCCTCTTGTTCAATTCCCGGACCGAGCAAAATTTTATAGGGTTTTGCTCAGAGAAAAATAGCTTAAGCTACTCCTTACATACAAGCAACCTGCTTTAAAAATATTATCAAAATCCGTCCAGCCATTTTAAAGATTACCCGAAACAAACTGACAGACAATATTTACACTGGTTTTTAGGCATAGGTATCGTGTGAGTAAATAACCGTGTGAGTATAAAAACAACCTATTATTTCGACATTACAAACAGACACTTTAATTTTATTTATTTGTATAGACTAGACATTGCCCGCTGCTTCACAGGTTGATTATTCTTATATCGAGGTTCTAACTTTGAAAATGTTTTGAAACTTCCATACAACGAACTGTTCATTCCTTATTTTACCCCTCAGGGCTAAAACTTCCAAAAGCCTTTCTTAATGGGTGTTTACAACACAAAAGCATCAGGTGCTATTACTACTGCAAGGATGGCGCAGTAGTTTCAGCGGTCTACTCCGCTGAGCGTTGTGGATTCGATTCCCACATGGAACAACACTTTGTATGATCCACAAATTGTTGTCTGAGTCTTTGTGTTCGTTCTGTCCGTTTCATGTATGTTTGTAAAGTCTCCCGCCACACAGGATATACTCGTATCCCTAATTTTCAAGTTGTCTTTTTTTAAAAAAAAAGAACGAAATACGATACGGCCAGTCCATTTTCTATTTACGTGGTCACTAATGTCTCTTGAGAGATCAAGCTCGTGGTCTTTACATTTTTAATTTTGCTTTTCTCGGCTTAAATGTAACCCGACTTAATATACATGTGTACGTGTTTTATCAAATGTATGGAAATATACAGCAAATTATATATTTGTAAAAAAAAAAATTGGTTTATTTCATATTATTCATGAATATAATCTAAATCGGGTTTTAATTTGCTTTTTTTTACAATACAGATTACATAATAGACTGAGATTACATATTATCTAAGAATACCTATAATTGCTTTAATTTATCCCTCGTGTAGGTGAAGTGTAACCCCGCCCTGTTAAACCTGCGCCTGATACCGATCACTAATAATTACATACGTATATCTCAGGCCCTATATCATTTCAACTGATAACTGTGTGTACTTAGATAATCTGTCAACATTTTGTTCCACCACGTGCGCCGGCGCACACGCGATCATATAGTATCAGCGATTTACTGTCCCGTGTTATCGGCGATTTGTTGTGTGGCGGCTGATTGTTACAAGACGAATTACGAGTAAATGCCC